TTTTCCTTGATCCTACCTGCTAAAGACTTCTCATGTCCCCTCCTGGCTCTTCTTAGCTCTCTCTTTAGGTCCTTCCTGGCTAACTTGTAACTCTCAAGCGCCCTCACTGAGCCTTCACGCCTCATCTCTACATAAGCCTCCTTCTTCCTCTTGACAAGAAATTCAACTTCTTTAGTAAACCACGGTTCCCTCGCTCGACCACTTCCTCCCTGCCTGACAGGTACATACTTCTCAAGGACACGCAGTAGCTGTTCCTTGAACAAGCTCCACATTTCAATTGTGCCCAGCCCCTGCAGTTTCCTTCTCCATCCTATGCATCCTAAATCTTGCCTCATCGCCTCATAGTTGCCTTTCCCCCAGCTATAACTCTTGCCCTGCTTTATATACCGATCCCTTTCCATCGCTAAAGTAAACGTAACCGAATTGTGGTCACTATCACCAAAGTGCTCTCCTACCTCCAAATCTAACACCTGGCCTGGTTCATTACCCAGTACCAAATCCAATGTGGCCTAGCCTCTTGTTGGCCTATCTACATACTGTGTCAGGAAACCCTCCTGCACACATTGGACAAAAACTGACCCATCTGAAGTACTCGAACTATAGCGTTTCCAGTCAATATTTGGAAAGTTAAAGTCCCCCATAACAACTACCCTGTTACTTTCGCTCCTATCCAGAATCATCTTTGCAATCTTTTCCTTTACATCTCTGAAACTTTTCAGAGGCCTATAGAAAACTCCCAACAGGGTGACCTCTCCTTTCCTGGTTCTAACCTCAGCCCATACTACCTCAGTAGACGAGTTGTCATCAAACGTCCTTTCTGCCACCGTGATACTGTCCTTGACTAACAATACCACACCTCCCCCTCTTTTACCACCTTCCCTGATCTTACTGAAACATCTAAACCCCGGAACTTGCAACAACCATTCCTGTCCCTGCTCTATCCATGTCTCCGAAATGGCCACAACATCGAAGTCCCAGGTACCAACCCATGCTGCAAGTTCACCCACCTTATTCCGGATGCTCCTGGCGTTGAAGTAGACACACTTCAAACCACCTTCCTGCCTGCCGGTACACTCCTGCAACCTTGAAACCTTATTTATGACCTCACTACTCTCAACCTCCTGTACACTGGAGCTACAATTCAGGTTCCCACCCCGCTGTTGAATTAGTTTAAACCCTCCCGAAGAGCATTAGCAAATTTCCCCCCCAGGATATTGGTACCCCTCTGGTTCAGGTGTAGACCATCCCGTTTGTAGAGGTCCCACCTACCCCAGAATGAGCCCCAATTATCCAGGTATCTGAATCCCTCCCTCCTGCACCATCCCTGTAGCCACGTGTTCAACTGCTCTCTCTCCCTATTCCTCGCCTCGCTAGCACGTGGCACGGGTAACAAACCAGAGATAACAACTCTGTTTGTTCTAGCTCTAAGCTTCCACCCTAGCTCCTTGAATTTCTGCCTTACGTCCCCATCCCTTTTCCTACCTATGTCGTTGGTGCCTATGTGGACCACGACTTGGGGCTGCTCCCCCTCCCCCTTAAGGATCCCGAAAACACGATCCGAGACATCACGGACCCTGGCACCTGGGAGGCAACACACCAACCGCGAGTCTCTCTCGTTCCCACAGAATCTCCTATCTGTCCCCCTAACTATGGAGTCCCCAATGACTAATGCTCTCCTCCTCTCCCCCCTTCCCTTCTGAGCAACAGGGACAGACTCTGTGCCAGAGACCTGTACCCCATGGCTTACCCCTGGTAAGTCATCCCCCCCAACAGTATCCAAAACGGTATACTTGTTTTTGAGGGGAATGGCCACAGGGGATCCCTGCACTGTCTGCCTGTTCCCTTTCCGTCCCCTGACTGTAACCCATCTACTTTTTTCCTGTACCTGAGGTGTGACTACCTCCCCGTAACTCCTCTCAATTACCCCCTCAGCCTCCCGAATGATCCGAAGTTCATCCAGCTCCAGCTCCAGTTCCCTAACACGGTTTCCGAGGAGCTGGAGTTGGGTGCACTTCCCGCAGATGAAGTCAGTGGGGACACTAGTGGTGACCCTTACCTCCCACATTCTACAGGAGGAGCATACAACTGCTCTAACATCCATTCCCACTGTTCTGAATTCCCAAACAGACAAATTAAAAACTATTGTCCTTGAATGTTAAGATTCTTTGACAACCCCATTTGAATTTTTTCAGGATTTCTCCTCCCCCTATGTTCTGGCTCTCAGACACTTGGGGATTGGTTTTCAATATGCCTTTGTATCTAAATTTGATGTGGATCCAATATGTTCTTTCATATACAGGAATCCTCCATGTGAACTCACATGGCTGACCCAGTGAAGGTCAGTTCAGATAAACATACTGTTAATACTAGGTATGAAGTACCTTGCAAGAAATGTTAGAGGTTTTGCCAATTACTTGACATCGCAGATGGATCATAAGCAATGATGGCAGATGCATCTAGTCACATTGTGACATAAGTAGATCACCCATGACTCACAGCCATAGGGAATTGGTGCGAGAACCTCTAACTGGGCAGACTTTGATCTTTGTTTTAAAGCAAACTCTCTGTTCTTTTCAAATCCTGTGGTTGAGCCTACCAAATGCTGAACTTGCTGTGGCCAAGCAACTGGCAATTCCATCATCCAACACAGTGCTGTTGGAGTGAATACTCTCAAGATAGCAGAATTTCTGAACCAAGCTGAAGGGTGTATTTTTGATTGCGACGATGAGGTGCCTATACCACATAGACTGCAGAGATTCAAGATGGTAGCTCACCATCACTTTCTCAAGGGCAATTAAAGATGGGCAAACACTAGTTTTGTCAGTGATACCCATAGCCTTGAAACACTTTTTCAAAAAAAAATCTACGTGACTCTCTCTGACAATTTCATGTATTCCAGGATACAGCACTGTTTTTGGCATTGTTGTGTACCTGACGACATTAGTTGGAATGTTCTTGATGAAATAACACACCTTTAGGTTGTCATCAACTCCCAATAACAGTGTCAAGATAGAACACAACACTTCCCTCTGAGGGCAGTGGCTTACCCCTGACTCCAATTCAAAGCACCTGAATGTCCCACAGTACAGAACTCTCAAATTTTAGTGTCATCAATACCTGCCTAAAAGATAAACGAGATGAATATTTCTAAATCCATAAACTCGCTGGAAGATCATATGGGGAGAACACAGACAGAATACATTGAATAATAATAGTGACTTTGTTCTAATGGTTATGGAAATACTGTCCTGCCTCATGATTCGATAACTGCTATTAAATTAAAAAAAGTCATAAAAAAAGGCCCTTTGACCCATCACGTCCATGTTGCCAAAAACAACCACCTACGAGGCGGGAAAACACACCGGCGCTTCACCGGACGCTGCACTGATGATGTTACCCAGCAGAATAATGAAACGTCTGCGGAACAACAGACTAGCTCGGCGAGCCAACCAACCACAACTCCCACAACCTGAGCTACAAATCTACTCCAAAACCTTACAATCACCTAGTCTAATCCCGTTTTCCAGCTCTTGGCCCATAGCCGTGTATGCCTTGACATTGCATGTGCAACCCTTTTTTGTATTCAATCAGTTCAGAGTGACATAGCAAGGTAACCTCAACCGTGGAATTCCCTGCCCAGTGAAGCAGTTACGGCTACCTCGTTGAATGTTTTTATGGCAAAGATTTTTTGGACAGTAAAAGAATTAAGTGTTTTGGTGAGAAGGGGAGTAAGTGGACCTGAGTCCACGAAAAGATCAGCCATGACCTTATCGATTGGCGGAGCAGGCTCGACGAGCCAACGGCCTGCTCCTATTTATGTTCTCACACTGCTGGAACAGGCAGGACTTGTGCCCAGATCTCCTGGTTCAGAGGTAGGGACACTGCCACTGTGCCAGAAGAACGAGTCGTACCAAAATAAGAGCCCTAGCAACGGTCAGGGGTGCTCGCACCATCTTGTTGTCCAGATCCCAGTAGCTGCTGCAGTGAAACACTGTATTAAACCTGTAACTATGTGCTATGTCCTCACCTTTCCGTCTCAACAGCAGCGCCGCTACAGCACTGTCCACACCTCCGGATAGGGCACACACCACATGCCGCAGCGGCCGGCTCATGGCCGGTGTTGGGAACAGAGGGACCCCGCGCCGAGCTGAGCCTCTCTGCTAACCCCTCAGCACCGCCATGCTGCAACTCGTGTTCCTCACAATATCAATCCCCCAGGAAACAGTGTCCGGCTGGTGGAGTCCAGCCCGGAGTTGTTTATCCCCCGCGCACACACACACAGCCCTGACATTGTTTAACCCTCTGTGCTGTGTTTGAAATGTCAGGCGGACCTAAAGACAACAAGTGACTACATGAAGTCAAACATCAGTGAACACCGACAGAGCAGAAACTAGGAAGCTCCTTTATTTCTAAACAAACCTCTGGGAACCCATTGTCAAGATTTGCAAATACCCCCTTGGAATATTTAACTGACAATTTAATTCAATCGGGGGCATAAAATTAAATTTGACTCTGATGATATTGTTTAATAAGATTTAAGAGAATTCCATCAGAGAAGTGAACTTGGCACAAGAGAGGGATGTCACGCTGAAATTCATCAATGAAACTTTTTTTTGAAAAATCATTTTAAAACTCATTTAAGCAAAACAGCATCATCCCTGCGATGTTATGATACCTTTGTCAGGCCGCTTTTTTAGTTTTTCGACAGGAAACCGGAAATACACACTGGAAAATAATGCCGCACGGGAACGGAAAGAGTAGATGAGGGACTGACTTGAAAAGTAGTGAGCATTTTTATTTTAAATTATATAATTTAAAGTATTTCTTTATGTTAAAATATACTACCAATAAATTTATTTTTCATGCCTGTTTTGATCTTGTTGCTGCCTTATGTATGTGGTTTCCAGCTGTTTCCAAGTTTACTTTCTCCTGTAGTGAAGATGATTGCCCTCTCCGACGCTGGGATATAACAGACTGGGGGAAGGATTATCCATCAGATTTAAAAGCAAAACAGCAAACATTTTTAAGGGTATACTAAAACTCTTTCACGATCTCGGGACAGAATGAAGTGTATTAAAAAAAACACTTGGAGTTCAGTCTCCTTCGTAATCAAGAAAACACAGTACATTTGTGCACAACAAGACTCCACAAATCTTGGAATGTCCAGATAAATAATTGCAACTGACGGAAAGGATCGACTTAGCTCCGTTCAAAATAACTAACAACGAGCACGATGTTGTAGAATTAAGTCAAATGCTACAGGATAACTTGTCACCTGTTTAACCCGGGTCCTTATATGTGACTATCTTGAGCTCACTAACAAGTTAATAACATGTGTCACCGCGTCCACCTTTCTGAGTGTATACACGCCTCTACCAAGATTTTCAAAATGCTCAGGTATTTTAATTACCTTAGATATTGGAGCTAATAACATTTATTTTATTTGCATTTTAACACCAATAGAAACAGGGTTGACAGGGGCTACTTATATCAGTCGAGACAACGGTTAACAATTCAAAATGAATCTTAGAAAAATGAGATAGCTGCTTTTCATAGACTAATGGCCCTATCCCCATTATTTCATGACATGAAAAGTTTGGGGGAAGAGGGGAAAAAATCACAGAAATCAGAGTGTATCTAACATCTCAACAACAGATGAACTTAGCTGGGTAAGTGACAGATGTCACATAGTATTCCCTGAGCTAGCAGGGTGATGGGATTTACAGGTTTCTGCCTCAAGATTGCTTTTTAATGACTCCTATGAGACAGTTTTTGTGGATGGGAGGTAAACTGTTCACATAGCTGTAAGCTTTTTTAATCAACCTGTTCAGACATGTTGTGATACACTTCTGGAGTAGGTCGAACTTGAACACAGGATTTCTGGCTGAGAGGTAGGGACACAACCACTATGGCACATGGGCTCCCTACACAGTTATACTCTTACAGTTAAAAGAAAACTATCAAATGGTCACATATGAAAAATGGCTATTTAGGTAACAATGAGGGGCTCACGGAACAACTTGCACCTATGTAATATCCTTAATATAGTAATCATCCAAAGTCATATTACAGAGGGGGAGAACAAAACAAATAAAAAGGAATGCCAAACTATGGAAGGAGAGTTGGAAGAGAGGGCCAAAGATTTAGTCAAAACTAAAATGTCTCTTGAAAGATCATTGAAGAGATCAAGAGATTTAGGATGACAAATAAGACCATGGCTGAGGTCTCTGCCAATAATGATGGAGTGAAGGTCAGGTGGAAAGTCACATAAAGGCTCGAGTTTGAAAACCTTAAGAAGGGAAAAGGTGGCACATGTAAGGTAAAGCTGCAGAGATATGAAGGGGCAGAAGTTTTGGAGAGACACTTATTTCTCATACCATGACATGATTCAGATTTTTTTCCTCAGGAAAGTAAATTAGAAACAAAACAATGATTCCTCACTTGATCATATAATGCATCAGAAGTCTTTTAAATAGCTATCTGAATCTTTTTTGTAGCAAAATTTGATCACAAAACTGAGTAAAATTTGAAGTAGTGGATCAAAGCTCCTTGGTGACTTTTTCAGTTTGGTAGATAGAATGAGACAAGAATGAGGTAGACACCAACTCATTCTTAAACTATTTTTTAAAGTGCATTTCTATGCTTTACAATTCAGAGTCAGAACAGAAATGAAAGAAGCAGAAACCTTGCTGAGCTTACAGATGTTGCAAGAAGCCAGGGAAGCAGTAAAGCAGAGCACTTTGCAAGTTATTGAAACTCCTGTGATCCATCTGCCTCATGGGGCAGTTCCAATGAAAATCAACTGTGATCTGTATCTTAAGCTTGAAAACATGCAAACAACAGGTCAGTACAATGAATGCTTCTACAATGTTGTGTGTCCGTTTATTCCACATACTGCAATACAGTAGGTTGATGTGAATTTTTAGGTTTTTTAATGCTGAAGGGAGACACTTTTTGCATAATTAATAGTTCAGAGTTACTGGTTAAACTGTTAAAAGAATAACAATATTTTGAAATTAATGTTTATTTTCATTATATTGGATTTCTTGAACTAAAACATCATTTTAAAAAAAGTACATCAGAAATATAAAGAAGTTGTGCTTAGTAGACCATGTTACTTTAATTAGTCTTTTATTAGACCAAAATCTGACTTAACTATATAGCTATCCACAGGCATTAGTTCGTAATTAAGAGAAATATAGCAAAATAGGGGATTGACAAGTCTGAAAGACTTACATTTATTTACAGCTGTCTTGTTAGCTACTGCTGTACAGGAATTTTACATTAGTTCAGTTAGAACTGCATTTTAAACATTTCTGGTTGACTGATTTTTTTCCACTAATAAATCTATGAATATAAATTAATTTACTGACCTTAATACTGGCATAAGATGATCTCTAATTTTAAAGTTGCTCAGAAAATGGGAGCCAATTTTGAAACATTCAAATGTGGCACTTACAGTTTTTAAATGTGCCTTCAATACTAATAATACATAAACTTCTAATTATTTTGCAGGCTCATTCAAGATCAGAGGAGAAGCAAATCAGTTTTCCAAAAGAGAAAATGGGCACTTCATTACAATGTCAGCAGGAAATTATGGGAAAGCCTTTGCTTATGCTTTGAATCATCTTGGGCATCGAGGAAAAGTACTAATGCCAGACACAGCACCAGCATCAAGGGCTACCCTGATCGCTGTAAGCATGGATATAAGTATTTGGTAACTTAGGAAAAGCATACATTTGAATTGAATCTAAACCTTTTCTGTAGCTAAAAAGGACAGGAAAAGGCCGCTTAGTTGGAGGTAAAACAAGGATTCTGTAAAGGTTTTGGAGTAGATCTGTAGCTCGGGTTGTGGGTGTTGAGGTTGGTTGGCTCGCTGAGCTGGTTTGTTGTTCCTTAGACATTTCGTTACCATGCTTGGTAACATCCTCAGGTGCAGCCTTTGATGAAGCGTCAGTGTGTTTTCCCGCCTGGTTTTTAAACTCTGGGGTCCGTTGCGATGGATTGCCTCACTTCCGGGTTTCCTCCATAGTGGAACGTATATGGGGTCAAGTTCAATGTGTTTATTAATAGCATGCTTCGTGGAGTGCCATGCTTCCAGGAATTCTCGTGCTTGTCTCTGCCTAGCCTGTCCCAGGATCTTGGTGTTGTCCCAGTCGAAGTCGTGGCTCTCCTTGTCCATGTGGATTGAGATGAGTGAGTATTGGTCGTGTCTTTTTGTAGCCAGTTGGTGTTCACGTACTCTTGTTGTTAGTTTCCTTCCTGTTTGTCCAATGTAGTGTTTCTCGCAAATTGTTCAAGGATAATGGATATGCAAAGAACTGGGTCAGGAGATGCCTACAGGAACAGCATCAGAAAGATTCTACACGCCCCGACACACTCGTCACACTACCCTACATCAGAAACATGTCAGAATTCACCACAAGACTTCTACGACTGCTGGGCATCAGAGGGGCACACAAGCCCACATCAACCCTACGACAAGTGCTCACCCGAACTAAAGACCCACTCTCCGCCATGGACAGGACCAATGTCATCTACAAGATCCCCTGCAGAGACTGCCAGAAACACTACATCGGACAAATAGGAAGGAAACTAACAACAAGAGTATGTGAACACCAACTGGCTACAAAAAGACACGACCAATACTCACTCATCTCAATCCACATGGACAAGGAGAGCCACGACTTCGACTGGGACAACACCAAAATCCTGGGACAGGCTAGGCAGAGACAAGCACGAGAATTCCTGGAAGCATGGCACTCCACAAAGCATGCTATTAATAAACACATTGAACTTGACCCCATAGACGTTCCACTACAGAGGAAACCCGGAAGTGAAGCAATCCATCGCAACGGACCCCAGAGTTTAAAAACCAGGTGGGAAAACACACCGATGCTTCATCAGAGGCTGCACTGAGGATGTTACCAAGCACGGTAACGAAACATCTGCAGAACAACAAACCAGCTCAGCGAGCCAACCAACCTCAAAACAAAGATTGTTGCAATATCAGTGCATGAAAAACATCATATCTATTCCAGGAAAAATGATGAAAGGTTCATGGTCCAGGGCAAGGCTCAAAGTGAAGGATGTTACTGTGGTTGAATAGTCAGAGAATATAAAGTATGTAAAGATGTAGGAACATGTAGTTCTAAATCTGGAATTTAAAAGTCTGAAGACTGCAAGAAGGCATTTAGAGTATGGATATCCTTCCCTTCCATATTTTTGAGACCCTGGAAGAAACTTTTAAGAGTGAAGGACTTTGGAGCTAATCTCATTTTTAACAGAGACCATAATTACGAACCAATCTTGATGCGACTGCGGCATAAGGTTGCAGTACCAGGTCAAAGGAGGTTTGGTTCCCTGCATAGTTTGAAGGAGGAAAAGGAGCATTCATATTGTCCACCTGGTCAGATTATAGAGTTTTACACTTCGGCCTACAACATATAAATAAGGAAAAGTTCCAGTGAGTGGTGGTATGGTACAAATGTATTTCCTTTCAATTCGTTAAAAGGTAATTTTGCAAAGTCAAAAGACACCACCTGGGGAGATAATGTTCAGAGACTAACCGCAGTGATACAAAGAAGAGGAAATTAGAAACCCTCGCTCAAAAGTGGAATTGATGCATGTAAGCAGATGTACTTTTAGCCAAGTATTGGTGGATATTAAGTAGCTTACAATGTTTATGTGAGAGGATATATAAAAGCAAGTTATTGTTGATGATGGTGCACACTTGCTTCCTACTTTCCATAGCGTACTGGAAAAGTTCATTGTTCACCCCCATCTATCCTGTGGCAAAATGGAATAGATTTTGCAGTGCCAAAAGGTGCGCCTGTTAATTCTCCTTGAAATATACTTTAAAATTTTACAGCTTTATTCAGAGGTGTAAGGTGCCTCCTCACAATTTGCAAATACTTAATGAAGCTGACAATTTTAAAAGTTAAAACAGAGTGATTTAACATGCAATCATGTTTTAAAATCTGAAATGTTGTCAAAGTGTTTAGCACGATTTCAGATTTAAGTATAATCTTTTAATAAGTACAATAATTTGACTTTTAAAGTCCTTAAGTCTAAAAATGATTTCCCAATGTCATTTTAACATGATTTCCAAGACTATTCAGTCACTGCAGTGACTGCAAACCTTACCTACAACTACTTGCCTTTGAATGCAGAGGCTCGATCAACCTATTCATTTATCCATTCTGCTGGATCAAATAAAGCTGCGTCTTCTTTATTATGATTTAATAGAGTGAACACTAAGTTACCTTTTTTTTTGTATAGTCCAATTAAGCACAAGTAAAATCTAGAGAAGTTCACTCCTATTTAGCAGACAAACCTCTGCAATTTCAATTTCAGGAATAGAAGCACATTTGTTTTTCCTAGATAACAAAGTGTAGAGCTGGATGAACACAGCAGGCCAAGCAGCATCAGAGGAGCAGGAAGGCTGATGTTTCAGGCCTAGACCCTTCTTCAGAAATGGGGGACAGATTCTCCAGAGATTGTTTCACTATCTCTGAAACAATTTTAACCCCACTGCGAAGCCTCTTCTAAGGATGCCTACCTTGAAGAAGTTACCCTCCTCCCTCCGGAATCCCCTTCCCCTCCCCCATTTCTGAAGAAGGCTCTAGGCCCGAAACGTCAGCCTTCCTGCTCCTCTGATGCTGCTTGGCCTGCTGTGTTCATCCAGCTCTACACCTTGTTATCTCAGATTCTCCAGCATCTGCAGTTCCTACTATCTTTGTCTTTCCTATACCAGTTTGATTTTCACTAAGTTGGCAGTTGCAAACAAACTCAATATGGAGGACAAGACTTTAATTAGCAGCTACACAAAGCAACTGCAGGTAATTCACGTTGATCAGTCTGTAGCCATATGGCATTAGTTGGTGCTGCTGCCACAGCTGTGGCTGGGGCTATTCAAAGGACCAAAGAAACTTAAGTTATACATCTTTAATGCAGGTCCATGATATCCTAATCCTACAGCAGGATTCCTGAATTGGGTAAAGAATTCACATCAGCACTGCAGAAAGTAGACTGTTAAGAGTCACCTTACAACTACAAGAAACCTGAATGCTGAAAGTAGAAAGCTGCCGCTAGATACTAGAAAATAGCTTTAATCTTAAACCACACAGTCTCGATAGATAACAACGTGGAGCTGGAGGAACACGGCAGTCCAGGCAGTATCAGAGGAGCAGGAAAGCTGACGTTTCGGGTCGGGACCCTTCCATGAAAGCAAGTCTGGCTGCAAAGTATTTCTAACACCTGGAGTATTTTGGTTTCAGTTTAAGTCCTGATTTCTGTTCCATTGTAGCTTTAACAAAATACAAGTATGTTGGAATAATGGTATGAAAAGTAGTGGCTCAGCTCTTGCAAAATATTTGTGACTAGATAGTCTTCATGTCCCTAACGGCAAATATCTTGAAAGGTATATTTAAGAACTCCAAATTGTCAAAATAGTTTCAGATTTAATTAGGAAAATGGGATTTTCTCTATAGGTATCTATAGATATAGACATCAGTTTAAATCATCTCAATTGTATTCATAAAATGAAATGTATCACTATGAACATGTTAGACTCAGCTTTTTAAAGTAAAAAGATTCTTTGCAAGCGATGTAATTGCTATAACATTTTATAATGATTAAACAAGGGTCACAAGTTAATTGAGTGTTTAATATCTTCACAGGTCTTAATAAATGGCAGAAGTATTCTTTACTAATGTCATTGATAACTACTAATTTTGAATATTGTACATTTTTATAATCACAATCTAGAGTTATGGTGTAGAAGTGGAGCACATGCCATCCAAATCATTATTGCCTGCTGTGGAACAATTTGTTAAGGATCAGAAAATGAGTTTCTTACACCCTTTTGATGACATAGATTTGATTGCTGGCCATGGAAGGTAAAAGTCCAATTCCTATCATTGTCTATCTGGGTGAAGTTACTTTCTTCTTGAAATTTACTGCATTGCATCAGAGCAAAGGAGGCATTCTCACTCACCCCAGAGAAGTGACTATATGGAGTCTAGTTGTCCTCAACCAGACACAAGTCTAACCTTTACATGGTCTCTTGAAAAGATCATACCCAACCTACATTACTTTATTCCATTAGTCAGAGACTTCCTAATCTAAGCTGCATTCAGGTTATTTTGAAAAAGTGACTATTCTAGAACGAAAGTGATTGTTTAGTAGATCATGTACAACTTTTGGTGCTAACTGCTTAGTATGTGATTTCACAAGTCTCATTTTATACACAAGAGCAACTGTTGTATTGAATGATTTAAACAGCAAGATACCATACTTCTTACATACTGGCAAAAGCTAGAAGATGAAGCTACCAAAATGAGAACATGTTTCAATAATTAGCATAAATGACTGGTGCAAATATTAACAGTTTAGTTCAAAAACATTAAGACAAAAACTACTGATCAAAATCTAAATGATCTCTCATTTTACATGTTATTAGCGTCGGTCTGGAAATTCTTGAAGAAATTCCATATCCTGATGTTGTGGCAGTTTCTTGTGGAGGTGGTGGTTTGCTTGCAGGGGTGGCTGCTGCCATCAAACTATCTGGCTGTACAACTACAAAATGTATATGGAGTGGAACCAAGAGGAGGTAAACTATACTGCAACACAGTTTAATTTAGTACCAGTTTTAAAGACACCAATTTCACCATTTATTCTTGATCATCAGCTTGTACCATGTACAGAAGTTTTAATGAAAATAAACCAGTATTTATGGATGCAAACAGCATTGCCACAGGTCTTGCTCCACCATTTGCAGGTGAGTGAAAAAGAAATATACAGCTTTAGTTTCTGATGGAGGTTAAACAAAAATCAGATTATAAAAAGCAAGTTGTTGGAGATTGGAAATTGTAAACAAATAGTTATTTGATAAAATACGAAAGATCTGGTTGTAAAAAAAATTTTAGGAGAGACTGCCAGAAAAACAGGTCAAGGCATCAAAACTCAAAGCAACAACAGAAAAATAAAATATTTTGTATGACAGTAACATAAATATTCATCAGGATCTTTCAAATTCTATTTTGCAATAGGTTCAAAATCATTCCAGATTTGCAGACAACATGTGAAAAAAATCCTATTGGTATCAGATGATGAAATAAAAGCAGCAGTTTCCATGCTTTACAAAATTGGCCTGGTTGTGGAACCCTCAGGAGCAGCTGCTTTTGCTGCTATTGTAGGAGAGAAGATCAGACTTAAAGGAAAGACTGCAGTGGTCATAATAACCGGAGGAAACGTCAGTCCTGAACAGCTTTGTCACATTGTTCATTAATGAAAAAAAATTGTCACACAACTACAATGAGAACTATGTAAATCAACAACAGATTTAAAATTGATACATAAATGGACTAGAGAATCATGATATGTCATATTCTGAATTCAGTAAATAGTTAAATTGAAACATTTGAGTTTTGTTCTCCAATAGCTGTAGTGGAAAAATACAAGAACCACACTAATTTGTAATTTCGTTTCTTCCACTGCCCCCCCCCAACCCTTTGAAAAAAAAAGCATGTAACTCATCTTTTATAACTTAATCTAGTGTATTAAATATCCTACCATACTTTTATTTTAACACAAGATAGTAACCCAATATAGCCTTTATAAAATATTGACTTCTGCAACTTTGTCTGATCATTTGAATTTACAGAAAGTGAGCAACATTGTACAAAATCCACTCTAAGTTTCTATATAACAATTTTTAGAAAATTGGTACCTTAGAACTGAACTCTATCTGGTTTTGTCATTACAGCTTTGATTGTTGAAATAGTTTAAAAAAAAACTTGCATAGCAAATGGGAAGGGGCATCAAGTAATTCTGAAAAGATTACGCATTGACATTTCAAATGTTTCCTCTTTATTCATTTAATTAGCCTTTCAGTTATTAAAATAAATCAAAGTAAATCTACCAGGAAAACATGACTTTAATGATGGCATTTACATTTTAATATTAACTGTGGTCCAAAGACATTTTTTAGTAATCCAGAAGAACAAATGTCAGACATTATTTCAGTTCATCCATGGACTTTAGAGAAACTAGGAAAGTGTAGGCTTATACTCAAAGTAAATAAACAATAAGAACAAAACAGCTTGAACAAGATTAAAGCAATCTTATGACAGTGTAGAGATGTAGCTATAAACTATTAAAAAACACCTTTAAAACTTCAGTAAAGGAGAGTCCATATTCACATTTTCCTTATTGGCAGGGCTCAACATAATCAGCGGAGAGTTGAAATCTATAAGCTGAAATTGAAATGGTTTTACTTCTAGAAAAATATACAATCAACATAGAGCACAAAATGAAGCTGTTCAGCCTGTAGCAGATCTCGGAAAGAACCATCCAAGTGAATCCCTTTCCCTGTAATCCTGCAAATAGTATTTAAATACATGTCTAGTTGCCATTTGAAAGCTCCTATGAATCCAACTCCACCATTTCCTTCAGGTATTGTGTTCCAGAACACAACCATCTTTGTGAGGGAAGGGAGAGGAGATCCTAATTTTTCCTGTAATTTAAACCTGAGACTTTTATTTATGCAAGAGGAAATAGTGTTTCTATTTGTTTTAATCAACAACCTCTCAAAACTTTGGATACTTTAAAATCATTGTCACCAACGAGAACAATCACAGGCTCCTTGATACAACAATGGGAAATCCATACTACTTTCTCCAAGGGCTAAATATTGCTCCTAAAATGTGGTGTCTAGAATTGAACACAAGGCTGCTGAGGCTCAACCAGTGAGCCTCCCATCAACAAAGTTAAGTATCCCACATAATTCTAACCAATTTATCAGATCACACTTCAAAAAGTGGACTAAAACAAGAATATACCCCCAGGTCCTTTTGATCTTCACACCTTTTAAAAAATCTGCCCATGCCAAATTTTTTTGCTGTTTACAATGTTGCCAAGCTTAATATCATGGTACTCCTCAGCCTGAAGTCCAGGCTATCATAAAACAAAAGTAATGGTCATGATGCAGATTTCTGGCAAATCCAGCACCCAATTCTCACTGGTGGAAAAACAAAATCTGTTCACCATATGCTCTGCCATTTATCCTTTAGTGAATTATGTACTGAGGTTATGCTTATCCCTTTAATCCCCAATGCTTTGGTTTTGAAAAGTTGAAATATGATCTACTATATCAAATCTTCCTAAACACCATAAATATATCCACAGCATTATATTAACCAATCCGGTTATTTGGATCATTCGGACAAGACCTACTTAAATGAATGCTGGCAGTGACTCATTCACCCATATTTCTCTAAGTGTCAATTAATTTTGTCCTTGATGGTGGCCTCTAGCAGCTGTCATACTAAAGACAATGGATTGGCCATCTTGTAGTTACGAGGTTATTCTTTTTGATTTGGGTGTTAGATTTGCAAGCCTATAGTTCTTTGGGAGTTCCATACCCACGGAGGATTAAACAATGGTGAATGGAGTCTCTGCTATTCCATCTTTGCTTCCCTTAACATCATATGATGCAATCCATCTCAATAAGATAACTTGTTAACTTGAGTGATACAAAACTTGTTCATCACCTCTTTTCTGTCAATTGCTATTCTGATCAATGTCCATTTTTTTTCTCCTGTACTACATTAACTTCATCCTATGTGAAGACAGATGGTCCGTACCTTAATCATATCCTCTGCCTCCACAAGATTTCAATCTTTATCATGTGTTAAGACAACTGCTTTCTTTTCCAATATTAATGGCAAGATTTCACATGCAGGGCACACATTTCAAAATTTGCAGATAATGCAAAATTTGAAAGAATTGTAAATAAGGTGTAGTGATGGCCATGCTGATGGAATGAACATATACATGGCAGATGAAATTTAACACACAGAAGTGTGTAGTTGTACATTGGGAATAGGAAGAACAAGGATAGGCAATATAAAATGAAGGACATCATTCTAAAAGTGGGTGCAGCATCAGGAGGTGTGGTGATTTTTATTATCAACAAATTGTGGAACAAGCTACAGCAGGTTGAAAAAGCAGTTGTCATAAGGGATAATGGACTTTTAAAAAAGTATAAAGAACAGTCATATTATGCTGAACCTTTATACAAACACTGGCTTAAAGCTTTTCTGTATCCAGTTAAGACAATGCTTCCAGGGATGAGAGAGTTTAATTTGAAGATAAACTGGTGAAGCTGAAAAAATGTTCCCCTTATGGATGTGAAATTTGAGGAGATCCAAAAGAAATGCTCAAAATCATGACAAATCTGGACAGAATTGACAGAGATACTGCTGCAAAAGGGAAGTAATAAAAAGCAAAGACATTTTATCCAACAAGTGGTTAAGATCTAGGATGCAAAAGTGCAGAGGAGACACATTCAAATCATAGTTTTCAAAAGGAAGTTGGATAACTATATGGAGAAAGTTTTCACCCAAGGGGTAAAGATGGAGGAGTGGGACTAGCTGAATTGCTCTTGGAGAGCAAAGATGCAATAGGACAAGTGACCTCCTATTGTTTTACACCTGATAAATTAACAGTAGGGAAAACAAAAGTAAAAATTTTGTATATTATCTCTGGATGATCATCAGTTCTCCTTATGGAGATGTTTAGAATGTATTCAAATCAACACTATCTTGAGAAGCCTGCCATTGGTCACATTTCCTTTGTCAGTTTGTTTGCAATCTACTAAATCATTAAAATATAGATTCTCTGATTGGGTATTTTCACCTTTATTTTTGTCTTTTTTTAAGAAATATCACAGTAAACCCACTATTAGGATCATTACCTAGATGTTTTCTCACTAAAGATATCACTTACCCTCCTTCATTTTTAGATCTAGAGTCATGACTGGTTCTTTCCTTCCTGAGCTAGAAATGTAAAACCCCCACCATTTCTTTTGATTCCGATTTCCACCTCACAGTATCCAAAGAAGGTTTAGTTCCATGTTTAAGTCAGATTCTCTATTCTAACCACTATAAACATACCACATGGCAACTTCTTCTTAAGCACACTCACATTAACAAGCATTGATGACATCTTGCTAGCTTGTTGCTTTAATGCACCATCTCAATTCTCATTATACACTTTTAGTTTATTGTCATTTGCCCTTTCTATTTTATCATGTACTTTATCTGTCTATAGTGAGCACTTCATCTGTTTTTAGTTATTTTCTTGTTTCCCCTGCCCTGCGAAGATACTTGTGAAAAGGCAGAATTTAAACTTCGGCCCCAGCCAAACTATTCAAATTGTACAAGTCCTGCCTACACCAAGAATTCTTTCCCTCTATATTTTCTCCAAATAGACATTCAGCGACACTATCCTCCTCACTAACATTCACTAGTATTCTCTGGAATACTATGTTTGATATCCTGTTCTTTAATCTTTTCCTGACACCTAAAACACTGCATATATAGAACGTTAACACTTTTCCCATCCCTTTTAGTGGCTAGAAGGTGGTGCCATTGCAGGTTGGAGTCCATATTGGAACCAATGAGAAAGCAGTTAACATTTCAGGTGAAAGGGGAATATTAACAACATGGTATTTTACTATTTTTTACAATATAAAAATAGTACGTCTAAGTGATCAGTAAGACATTTAATATTGTAACTGCTTTAGGCAATCTAGTTGTCTAAATCTGTTAACATGAAGCTTAGTGGCTTATCTGCAGGCCATTTATATGCATTTCTATGGGTTGACAAAGCACAAGTTAACATTATCTGCTTAGATCACAAATTAATGATAACAAGTCTGTGTGCTGATTTAGAAGTTAGGAGTAACTCTCTTTAAAGTTCTGATGCACCAAATCCAAAATTAGTCAAACGAGCAAGTTTTAAAACAAAAAATTAGGCACAAATAGAATGGCATTTCCTGGCTTTTGAAACTCAACTATCATTCAGATACCCCTAGAATGGTAAGTATTAAGTTCACAGTTAAGTTTATACTTGCTGAAATAAGCTAACCAACATGAAAATAACTCACCAGCTCAGGAGCCTTCATTGGTGCAACTCTGTTTATTTCAGGAGTATTTGAGAGATCAATAAGTGGACGGTCTTGAATTTGCTTATTTTTTGTACCTTCAACAGTGAAATTCTAATGGAGAAAACAAGTCAACATGGATGAATTTAAAAAAAAAAGGAATTATGATACTGGTTTTGTTCAATCAATAGATACCAAGCAGTTACAAAAATGTTTTCCATTAAAACTGTCCTGTCAGCTAGATAAATAATGCAGCAAAAATAACTTTAAAATATTGATAGCTAATTCATCGGAAATGGAAAATACACCATATCCAAAAGATATTTAAAACTTTTTAATCTCATTCTCTTCCCAATAAGTAGACTGTAAGCCCGGAGTTTATAAGTGGTAGAAGCTATATCATATACTCATGGTCAGGAAACTGGGGATAAAGAGTTCTTCATCAGGTTGGCGACCCGTGACCAAGGGGGCTCCACACCACAGGGCTCAGTACTGCGACCACAACTGTTTTCAACATATATATATCAAACAACTTGGATGCAGGGAGCAAGTGTACTGCTACAAAATTTTCAGACAAAAATATGTTGAAAGGCAGGTTGAGAGGCAGATACAGACAGTTAAGAGAGAGAGATTCATAGGTTAAGTGAGTGGGAAAATGGAGTATAATGTGGAAAAATGTTGAAGTTGTTAATTATGGAACAAACTCATGTACAAAACACAAAAGCTAGCTCAAAAGATGCAGCAGGTAATCAGGAAGACTAACATGTGTTAGCCCTTATTTCAAGGAAGTTGGAGTACAAAAGTAGGGAAGTCTTACTGCAACTGTACAAGGTGCTGATGAGACCTCACCTGGAGTAGAGTGTGCAGTTTTGGTCCCCTTATCTAATGAAAGGATGTTATTTCATTGGAGGCAGTTCAGAGAAGGTTCACGAGGATGATCGTGATGTGGATGGTTTGTCCTATGAGCAAAGATTAAACAGGCCGGGACTCCTTCTTGGAATTTAGAAGAATGAGAAGTGATCTCACTGAAACATATTAGAATTTTTAAGGCTTGACAGGATAAATCAAGATGATGCTTCTCTCATGGGAGGGTCTGAGAATTAAGGAATGCCAATTTAAAACATGACAGGATAAATCAAGATGATGCTTCTCTCATGGGAGGGTCTGAGAATTAAGGAATGCCAATTTAAAACAGACAAAGATAAAGAAAGAATTTCTTGAGGGTTGTGTGTCTTTGGAACTCCGCAGCCACCAACCCCTCTCCTCCAGCTCTCTCTGGCAAAGAGTCCTTGTGTAAGTTTAAAGATGGAGAGATTCTTGATGAGCAGGGGAATCCAAGGTTACAGGGAAAGGGCAGGAAAGTGGATACAAGGACTGTTGGATCAGCAATGATCCTATTGGATAGTGGAGCAAACTCAAGGGGCCAAATGGCCCACTCCTGTTCCCACTTCTTTTGGGCAAGTAATCACAGGCTTGGAATAATAATCCAGAGAATTAAAAATTTAAATTAAAAAAGTGACAACAAAGTTGTTGAATTGCCATAAAACACCAATGGGTTCATTGGCATCCTTTAGAGTAGGGACCCTACCAGCTTTGGTCAGAATGTACGTGTTCCCACATGAACATCATTGACTCCCTTATGAAGTGGCCTCACAGCAGCAGTAAATATTCAATGGCAGCAGATAAATTCACCCCCACAAAAACTATCAATGAGAGAAAAATTGCCACGATACGTGGAACTATTGGAATTGGGGTCAATAACACAAATTGACCCCTGCCACACCAGCTACTCAAAGTATGTTTGCAGCACATGGACCAAGTGGGCAAAACAGCCTGTTTTGTTCTGTACTTTCTATCACACAACTAATGTGTCCTGATATAAAAATATTGAGAATTGATCATTGAGTTTGTTCATCTTATTTAATACCTGGGATTTTCATGGATTGAAGTGGTTTAAATTAAGACAAAATGGCCCCACAGGCATCACCTGACCCATTCAGTTTGGTCACGTTTCATAAAACAAACATGGGTTGCACAAAATGTAGTCTGAGCAGACAGGGAATATACAACCAACTGCTATTACTTTGGCAGAGCAGGAAAATGGATTTTAGACTGCAGAACAGAAACAGGCCCAAAAATACACTGTCCGTGAAGACAAATGCCTGGTTTCCATGATACTAGCGCAAAACTAAGAACGTAAGATAACTGCAATATTTGCTATTGCTTACAGTCCAAGAACTCAACTAACTAATCACGGACTTAGACTTTTAAATTATCATTGAACAGCACTCAATTATGTCTTTATCTTTCTTTTATATCAGACACTTATTGTGGTGTACACAGCACTCACTGTATTTGTTGTATATTCCTACCTCCTTGCTTTGAGGCTCAGATATGTGCTTTAAAGCTTCTTGTGATTTATCAGGAGAGAAATCTAGAACACAAGGAACCCGGGATGGAGACAGATCCTCTTCAGAAGACTCAGATGAGCAAAGACCCTCTGGCTTTCTCAATATCTGTTCCCTACCAAGCCAAAACAAGTTAATGGCAACAGACTGTAAAATGACTAAATTGTAAACATTGAAATTGCACCCCAACTCCTAACCATATTTCACAACAGCTGAAGTCATGCACTTACTCAGTAGCTGATTAGCAAACATCCAAAAGTTAATTGAAGACTTATTTTGCTAGACTTGAATTTAGACAGCTTGTTGGATTGCTCAATGGAGATAAACAGAAATTAAGTTACCGTATGAAGCTATAAATTGTTGACATTACAAAAAATTTATATTCAAAATTTATTAGAATATGGTAAAACTGGTCTTTACAGTGAAATAATTATGCTAGCATATTTGCACTACGCACTTCGGGAAGGAATTCAGTCCTTCACCAATACCCATTAAAAAAATTGAAGTGTTCTTTAAGTTTAATGTATTAAAATATGCTTGAATTTGCCACAATACACAAGTGTTTTTTGTTGAGAAAATAACCAATTTTTAAGTTAACAAAAATGGCAAGGCATGCATTTGGATTTTTAAAACAAAAAAACTTCAAGTTCAAACAAAACATTTCTGTCTCACCTTACTAGAATAGTCTCACTCGCTGACATACTACGGTTTCGTGTCGTTGTAACTTTGAGAGATGATGCAGGTCTTGGTTGTGTTCGTGGAGTGAATGTTGGAATACCTGACCTACGACGATTTAATGGGGTGGGTAAAGCAGATAAACGTTTTGTTGCAGATGTTACTGATGCCAGCTTGTTTGTAACGGTAGGTGTTTGCAGCATTCCTCGAGTAGGTGGACTGTTTGGAGTACGAGCCTCTATACCACTGATGAAAATATTAAAGCAATATTAGCAGCTATAAACAAAAACAAAAAAAAAAAAAGGACGTATCTTAAACAGAGTAACCCTACATTCTGAGATAGACATTTCTACAACCTCACTTCATGACTTTGGAATATAGTAGGAAACAGCCACACAGTCTGCGTCCCAAGAGATATCAGAAACAGCTTATTGTAAAAAGGTGGTGAGAGGTTGAGTTTTAAAAAAAAGAGGGTAAGCGAGGTGCAGAGGTTTAGGCACAAGATCCAGCAGTTGAAGGTTCAGCTAAAATTGGTGAGACAAATGGGGATGGAGGCAGAAGCTACTGTTTGCTGGATGTCGGGGGGAAAATATGTCGGGTGGGATGGGAACAGGAAGAGGATTGTAGGGGTGAGAAAAACAAGGATAATAGCACTGGAAATAAAAAAAGAACATGAAACTGATGAAAATAAGGCAAATTACTTTGGAAAAGAAAGGATAGCAAAAGATGGATCAGCACCACTTGGCACATAACAATCAAGGTAGTGTTAATAGACACCTTGATATTTAATGGTGGGTGATGGATGACAAACTGACAGAGAATGTCGAGATAGAATGTAACAGGTGATAAAACAATGGAAGACAATTGTAGCAGCTGAGATGAGCCAAGAAGTGCAAACACTGAGGAATTGACTTGGAAGAGATGATTCAGTAGCTTCAAAAGAACACCAGGGGTTGAATGTGGGCATTTTTCAGGAGGATTGCATTGACTTTTAGAGCTAGGAAGTGATTTTCAATGGCAGCTATCATAGGACAGTAAGTAAAATTGGGCATAATGTATAAAACATGAAAAATACAGGTTCAAATGCAAGTCCGGTTGGACCAGGGGATTATTTTTGTTCTCCGTGAAGGGACAGACTTAATACAATGCTGTAAGTCAATGGCAATCCAAAACCAAGTTCTCAAGGGCAGCACCCATATCCTCAGAATGGATTCAAAATTGAACTTTGTAAGCTATATTGAAGGATGGAGAAAAGGAATGCCACAAGAGGAAATGAGAGTCTTTTCCCCCAGGTACTATTATAAAAAGAAAAAAAAAAGGCAGAAAATGAATGGTCAAAAGTTCAACTAGAATTTTAAAAGTGCAAGTCAAAGTGATTTGGATATATGTTGCCTTTCTTTCCATCCTCTTTAGGGTAAATGCAAGACGAAGTAGGATTAAGAGATGTGGAATGTGTGCAGCTGATCAGCAATAGAAGATAACCTGATCAGTGATAGATGTACACAGATGTTGAAAGGCGAAGAAGATGACAAGGCCGAGTTCAAACTATTATGCCTTCATTAATTATTTGAACTACCATCAGGAAGGAGCACTGGCACTATTTACCATTGACAAATATGCTCATGTGCCAGATTTTTGTTTATTTAAGACTATTTTATTAAGCAAGGTTGTAAAGCTTAAAATAGAGGCAGTTGGTTCAAGAGAAATAGAAACAGGAAAAAAAAAGGAAAAGCTCGATTGTTTTCCAGGAAATTTATGCTGAGAAAGTATGAACACATTAGTGTGCAATACCACTGGGACAATAACCCAATACTGTTGGCCAAAAGATTCACGGTTGAAAAAAAAATTAAATATAAACAGGAACATCTACAAATCAATGGTCTGATAAATATCCTGTTTTGACATTCTACTATAATTAGCAAATTCGGGTTACCATTCAACTGCACTGCAGGACAACAGCTTCTTTGGTTGTATTATTTTTGGCCTTGTTGTTCCAGGTGAAGGTGCTGAAATCAGAGTTAATAGAAATAATCAATAGTTTCCAAAAGATGTCAAATAATCCCTTTTATACCAAAGATAAAATGAACCATTATTGGATAACCGCAGTTAGAGGGGAAAAGTACTCATAGAATCATAGAATCCCTACAATGCAGATAGAGGCCATTAGGCCCATCGAATCTGCACTGATCCTCTGAAGAGCATTCCACCCAGACCCAGAGCCCCCCACCCTATCCCCCTAACTCCACATGTACCATAGCTAACCCACCTAGCCTGCACATCCCCGGACACTGGGCAATTTAACATGGCCAATCCACCTAACTTGTACATTCTTTGAATTATGGGAGGAAACCTGAAAACCCACACAGACACTGGGAGAATGCACAAACGCCACACAAACAGTCCCCCAAGGCTGAAATCAAACCCAGTTCCCTGACGCTGTGAGGCAGCAGTGCTAACCACTGAGCCACCGTGCTAGCCAAAATAGCCCCATTTTGGTTTCTGAGCATCAGCTTAATTCACTGTCTCCACAAACATTTCATATTCTTGCTAGTTTAGGTGGCAATTAGATGTCCCAAGTTCCATGAAAACGTACAAAACAAAATACCCTAGGCCCATATTTATACTGCAAAATGCTTATACTTACCACTGGATCTTTTCACAGCTTGGCTATTAACAACAGAAGCTTTGGTCTTTGGGCACCGATCCCTCCCCAATGCATTTACTATTTGGTTTGACTTGACTTTATCAACATTCATATCAGTTGAGCTAATTCTTTGTAAGCTTTTATTGGGAAGACTCTGCAATCCTGTTCCTTTCCGACTCATCATTCCAGAAGCAGTTAGTTTACAAGTATTTGCTGGTTTTAGTGCTGTTCTTGGGGCATCAATTGTACATGTAGAACTAGACGACTTGATCTTTGGGCTGGCAATTCTGCTGCTGTTTTTCAAGGTTTGTAGTTTTGATGCATTTGGGCGCATGGTTAGGGACACTGCTGAAAGACAAATCAAAATTTTTTTTAAAAAAAACAAACAAACTGGCTACATTGAATTTGAAAGCAAAATTATCATCGTTTGCAAAAAAGTAACACCAGAAGCAGAATTTCTGATGCATTTAACCAAACAAAATCCCATATGTTCATACTTGATGCTGCATTTAAATAAGCCATTTTTCAAACATATAACTATGTCCACTATTTCAGCCTTCCAACTCCAAATTGGAATTTGGATGATCCAAGAACTATAGATAGCCCTTAAGAGGTATTCAACTGCAGTCTACAAAATGACATGCTTTTTTGGCATAAAAATTGCACTTTCAACTCATTATAACTAACTTACACCTTTCAACCCACTAGTGTTTCATTTGTACACCAGCTTTCTGGAATATATTGCTATAATTAGGAGATTTACAGCTCAAAAGAGGAGGCCACTCAACTCACCATTTCCACATCTGACAACAAGGAGCCAAACAGTTTAATTATGCTTTCCAGCTCTTGGTCCGTGTAGATGCTAATCAGAGTTGTAATTCAATGCAAGTACCACTCGTCAAAAATATGAAGGAATTGATCATGCTCTCATGTATCTGACTGTTCCAGAGCACGTTTGGAAGTGAATTAAAAGTCAAATTTAATTCCCATTGTAAACCCAAGAATAGCAAAGAGTTATTTTGTGTGCAGGATAATATGAACATATTCTAGTCCGGGAAAGAGCTAACAATAACCATTAAGAAAGAGTACATTTAGGTTATTGAGTAGGTCTACTATTTCATTGAATGGGATAATGTGTCATTGCATTGAAGTAAACAAGGCTCCTCAATTTCATTCCTCATTGTGAGAGCAAGTGGCATTATGTTTAAAGAGAGTGTTAGACATGAAAACCAAAAGCCATATTCCACAACGGGAATTACAAAACGTTAAGATTTAAAGTCTGACTTGCCTCTACCACCACTACTGGAATTGTGAAGACGAGAATGGAGACAGGACGTAGAGGATGATGTATGGTTGAGAGTCCTTGCTGCAGAACCAGTACTATGTTTTGTCATGGAACCTGAAGCTTTAAACCCAGAAACATTTGGTTCGCTGACCTATAATAAAACCAAAAGATCTTTTTCAAATTATAACAATACAAAGAAAGTTACTGTAAGCATTTCTGCTCTAATTGATCTCCCAAAACCTGTACAAAACCCACGTAAAGTTCAATAGATAACTGTGGGTGATATAAATTGAGGTAGTATGGTTTGGCAGGCCACATAATACTAGCAAGGTGCAAGTCTAGTTGGAGTAGAGGAACAAAGGGGTGTTGCAGCACAAAATCATTAATCACTAAGAATTGCATCACAGTTTAGAAAGGCCATAAAACTAAACAAATAAAAAAGCAAGACTGAATTGCTAAAGGGAGAGAATATTATGAGAAGTTGTGCTAAAATGTGAATCACTGTTACATGGTTAGGTTACACACATGCAGTTCTGTTCACCATATTAGGAAAAGGAAATGGAGGCATTACAGAGCATTATGAGCTTAACAAGGATGATACCAGAAATACATAGGTTATATAGAAGAGGAAAAGATTAACAGGCTGGATCTCTGAAGTGATTATGATGGATGAAATAATTAAATTCTAAAAAAGATTTTGATACACAGTAGTTAGAGAATTAATGTTTAGTTTTGTGGGAACAGCACAACTGAAGGCCATCAATACAAAACAGTCACAAAGAAATCTACTTCAGTAGCATTTCTTCTGCATTCCTGAACAGTGGTAAAATGGTGAGAATTTTCTACCACAGGAAGGAGCATTTTAAGTAGTATAGTTTATTTTAAACAAGGAAGCTGGATAAACATCAAAAGGAAAGAGAGAAAATCATAGATTTAGATGTGAAAAAGGAGGAAGTTCTGGTGAACTACAGACTTCTATTTCAGCACTGTTCATCAAATTTAGGCTGACATTTCCTCTGGGAAACAAACATATTTCCCAGGACTTCCAGACAGTTCTAGAGTCTTCATATTCTTCACAACTATGTTGCAAAAACCTGCCCTCAATATTTTAGAAAAAAGGTAAAAAAGCATCAAACCTGTAATCATCACTCTGGCACATTATTGCTGCAAGACCTGAAACTATTAGAAGAATGGATTCTTAATGGGCAAGTTGCTGGCATGTCTCACTTCAAGACTGGAGATTTGATCAAAACTTAGACTATCCCTGCAGCGAATCACTGCTGAGTGAATAAAAAGATATCGAGCACAAGATGTCTGACCTCAGCCTTATTTGTTTGACTAAAAAAAAAAGGGTATTTTAGCAAAAACAAAACAAGGCTACCTCTTCAAAATAAAAAAGAAAAAAAAGCAGCATCACCAAAGAGAATTGGAGAAGAAATGCAATTTTAAAGAGGCATAGCCAAATAAACTGGTTTGGAGGTACTGAACTTCGTATTGTTGAAAATAAGAATGTTGAAGCTTTTCATCTTACACTCAATTTAAGGGGAAACCCAATGTTTATCCCCATGAGTGGAGTGCACTATTTGATTGTCAAGTGGATTCTGATTGAGGGAACATAGGCTATGTACCATTAACACTGATGATTAACTGTTGGGTTACGTTTAGTTTTAAACCAGGCAGTTTGACTGATTTGTCACGGCATTACCCTAAGCCATGAAACAGCAAATGGCAACCACCTATTATTTTGTAGATTTGAAATAGATGCAGAGAGCGTACATGTTCTTTCTACCCACAAAGACAACAGTCCTGTGTATTAATATTGGTTTTCCCCCTTACATCCAGGAGTTGACTGCGCCTCAATGAGATATGGGTGTAATGCAACTTGTGGCACTCTTTGTCCTTCCGCAGTTATTTCAGGGTTTTGCCAAAGTGAGGGAAAAAAAAATCCAATTTTATCTCTTATCACCCTTGATCTCCACAACAGCAGGGAGTGGAAAATTCACAGCCATACTGACTCACCTAGCGCTTAAAAGTTGTAAACTGTGGTTTTTAATTCATCCTTGCTGACTCCTTACAGTAGCTGACTCTTACAGCTCTGAAATTCATTCAAACTCAACTTCGCCTCATGCATGTGTTCAATGGCTGCCATAAAGAAAAGTGAAAAACTATAGCAGAGGCTACATGACCACAATAAGGCAGCCAGAAAACTATGCGCAAACATTTCTCCAAACCAGATTAAAAACTATGAGTATTCCTCACTATCGAAGCCATAAAACTAAAATGAATACAGTTTGCTCATGCACTCTTTACAAACCAAGAAAAAAAATATTGTTCTAATCAAGATCTTAACCATAAATTTCATGTCTGTATTGAAATTAGGACAGCACTATCTTTGGATTTGTACATCAACTAATTCAGGTAAGTGGCCAGAGCAACAAGTCTTATGTTGATTACTATAAAGTCTACTTTTGAACACATGAAGATTGTTGATTGAACTAACTTTTCATACAGATGGCTTCTTATTCATTATATAGGGTATTTTTACTTAATTGGGGCTGCATTCCTGAAAACCACAACTTTAGGTGAAGCATTGATGGAATCTATTAAAAATTGGATTTAAATTTCATACAGCCTTCTTAAAAAGAAAAGCAGCATTATCCTTGTACCCTCCAAGATGAAATACAGTATCATTTGTATATTAAGTGGTTAAATTCCAACCTAAAGTTTGACAAGTAAAAAAAAGGAAACATATACTCTACTCACAGTACCTCACTTTAGTGGACTGCGTAGAATGAGGGAGAAAAGTGGGAAAGAAAAGATTTGGTACAGCTCAGGCATTGTTCTTATTGGCCCCAAGGTGTAACACAAAGCCTATTGTTGTCCAGACCACATGGTGGCTGCAACATGTTGCTTTTACACACAACATGGACACCCACAAAGCCCACAAGTTCCAATACTGTTTGTTGTTGAATAAGTGACTCCAGCTGTTATCCCATACCTGGTGTAGGGCCAACGATTCATCCTTACAGCCAAAAGCATGAGAATGGGGAGGAGAATCACTTGTGCTGGAAGTATTAGCAGCAGCATCTTGGAGATTGACTAAAGTATTGTTCAATTGTTTCATTCTGCAGAGTCTCAAACTAGTTCCTGACTTAGGCTGAATGAGGATAGAGATACAAAAATCAGTAACTCAAAAAAAATTCCTTAGTGCAACGTGGGCATCACTTGCTATGTCAACATTTATTGCCCACACAGTAGGGACTCTGGAGTTACACATATGCCAGACCAAGTAAGGATAATAGGTTTTCTTCCTTGAAGGACATTGGAAAACTTTATACAGCGATCAACAGTGATTACATGGCCACCATTATAGGCCAAGACAGCTCTTTATCCTAGTTTTATTAAATTCAACTTTCACCATCTGCCTTGATGGGATTTGAACCCATGTCCCAGAATATTTGCCTGCATTTCTAGATTGCTGGTCCAGTGTCATTACCACTACACCTCCCTCCCTGACCAAATCAGTACTACAGGATTTTACATTTTATAAAACATTCAAGATTGATGCTTTGCTTACAAGACCAACACAAAAGAATTACACTAAAATAAATATTCAAACTTAATAAAATAGATTAAAATTCCATATTTTAAAACCAATGACCTTTTTAACTACTGCCAACCATAAGATCAACAGCTGCAATACAAATATTCCAGCACTTTTTGAGCCCTAATATCTTACTCAAGGAAAACTTTACTTTATTGCCATGATTGAAGATGTCACACCAAACAATCATTTGGCTGTAGTAATTAGCTAAGGACTGGAGATTGGCTTACGGAAGGGCATAACTTGCGTACAGCTGATGCAAACCAATACATACTGTATTATTGGCATTCCTAGCTTGTAAATCCTTTCCCAATAAAATTGAAGAAACAGATGTCGCAACAGCCATTTTGCACAGATTTCAATCTGCTCTGCAGAATGAATAGGTCAGATTTAAAAACAAACAAACAAACAAAGAGAAACTCAAGCCAGGACTTCCCAAAGTGGATGTTAGGATGCCAAGTCAGATTGCAAACTGAGGTTTTGGTGTCACATTTCCAATGCCACAACGCAACAATGGCAGACTCCCCTCATCCTGCTCACATGGGCTTTTTTTTCCCCCTCCAAAACTCCACAACTCACTGAGGGCTCATGATAATTTTAGGCTTCAAACGTAGGGTCATAGCTGGGAAGGAATGCAGTAACCGCATGTATAAAAGAAAAGACAAAGTCACTGTTATATTTTATTTGATTTTGCATAACACAATAGTTGGATGTTTAAATGTTGTCCAGTGGATAAAGCTCATTCAGCATCTGAACCTGTAAGCAACCAAAAACCACAAAAAAAAAAAAAAAATTGTATAATTTACTTTCAACAGGAATAAAATTGTCATCCAGACTTGGACTCCAAAGCCAAATTAGATAACTAAACCATTCAAAAGGAAAACAAGAACTATCATCGATCCACGTAACCATCCAAATAATCTGAAACCAAAAATCACAAAATGAATTACATTTCTCTAAGGATCTCTTGCTTTTAGGCAAGTACAATAACTAACATTTAGAACATGCTGAACAGTTGCACAGTATTATTTTCATATTAGAAATGTTTGGATAAATATATCTTCCTTATAACAAGCTCGTTGAGTGAACAAAGAGTGGGATTGTGACAGAGGATTTCTAGTTCCTGTATACAAATTTACTTACATCAGAAATACTTTTTACCCAACTAAGGTAATTCATAGAGTGTGGCAGAGGTTAATAGTGGTGGTACTACAAATTCAGCAGGATACTGCCCAGTACAGAAAAGAAGCACTAGAGCAATTAAACTATTTTAGATTAGGATTGAAATTACAAGGTAATAGATGTGTAGAACTGTAAAGGTAGTTGGGGGAATTTCGATAAGTACTATTTTTAGTAACGAATCTAACATGAGGCAATACAAAATAAGGGAGGTTTTCAAAAAAACAAAATTGATTGATAGTTACTTCAGTCACTTTTTGATGTGGAAAACCAAAGGGTGGCACACTGGTTAGCACTGCGGCCACACAGCAGCAGGGACCTGGGTTCGATCCCAGCCTTGGAGGAGTCTGTGTGAAGTTTTCACGTTCTCCCCAAGTCTACGTGAGTTTCCTCTGGGTCCTCCTGTTTTCTCCCACAGTTCAATAATGTGCAGGTGAGGTCGTTTGGCCATGGTAAGTGCAGGGTTACAGTGATAGGGTTTGGGTGGGATCCTCAGAGAGTCAGTGCAGACTTGATGGGCCAAATTACCTTTTCCTGCCTTGTAGGGATTCTATGATTCTACCCTGTCAGCACTTCATAGGTTAGATAAGTGGTTGAGGAAAATTGCAAAGTAGCATTTTTTCCCCCAAGTAATTCTACATATGCACTGGGTGGTGCCTAGGCAGATTTAGAGTTCCATACAAAAGCGTGAATTAATTTTAAAAAGTTCTCAAAACAAGCATTATACAATTTAAATGCCATTCAATGAAAACTTACCCACTGGATTTGAGATTGCTTTATTGACATCACGGAAGGGGGCTTACAAATTACAGCTCAATTTTTCCAGGAATGTTTGTGTTGAATGTCAAAGGTCCCTACTAGAAACTAATTTTTTAAAAAGAGGTCAGGAATGGAAGGAGGAGCAAATTATCTGGATCTCAGTGAATCTACCAACCAACTTATGTGGGTCAGAACCAGAAAATCTAAGTGCCACAAAAAAAAGGTAACAACAGGTAGTTTTGGGGGATAGACAATATTGTGTTTATGCAGCAGGATCACAAAGAAGAACACCAGATCTTGCTCTTGCTGTAAAACTAAACAAAATATTTACTACAACAGCACAAACACTTGTATCCAGCCGATCACACTTACTGAAATGATTAACAAACATTAACTCAAGTGCAACAGTTAAATAACTTTATGATTTTTGCAAAGACTCGTTGCTAGGGTTGTGGGTGAGGTTGTTGACTTGCTCGCCGAGATGGCTTGTTTTCGTTCAGACGCTTTGCACCATGCTAGGTGACATCATCAGTGAGGCCTCTGATGAAGCGATGTTGTTCGACTCTGCTTGGGATTTATACTGTCCGGTCTGTTATGGTGAATTGTGCCATTTCCAGTTCTGTTCTGTATGGGTTTGTATATGGCATCCAATTCTATGTGTTTGTTGATTACATTATGGGTTGAGAACCATGCCTCTAGGAATTCCTGAGTGTGTCCATGTTTAGCTTGGGCTACTATGGTTATGTTGGGAAAGTTCGTCATGTTGTTTTGCTGCTAGCCAATAAATTCCAAGTGGAGTAGAACAACATCTCTTCATCGGAGGCCTCACTGATGAGGTTACCTAGCATGGAGACAAAATGTCTGAATGAAAACAAACCAGCTTGGCGAGCAAGTCAACAACCTCAGTTAAATAAATTATTTGACAAGCCTCTAGAATTGGTTTAAATGGAGTTGCTTTACAAAGTAGAAAACTGCTCACCTTTTCTGATGCAATATATTTTGTTGGTGCATATTTTGATTGTTCAACTGATGGATCTTCTTTTAAAGTGTTGTTCTCAGTACAAGGCACATCATTATTGACGAATGATGAATTTCCACAGTTCTGTTGGGGCTGCATTGAAGAGTTGGTTGCCAGGATGGTAGTTTTCATTGATGGTTTTAACAGAAAGCTAGGTTGAGCATCTAAGGAATTAACCTGCAGACGTTTCTGGATTGCAGGTGGAAGTAACCTCAATGGGCTATCTTGAACTACAAAAGTTTCTCTTCTTGCACAACTGGGGCTGCTTATACCCTTTAGAAGGGTTAGTTTTAATTTAGATTCCTCAATAAATTGTTCCACCATTTTATTGTGCGTCATTTGATTTCCCATTTTCTTAGACTTTCCCTCCATCTGGTTTTCAAGGTGTTGTGCTAATAAGTTGGCTTCTTTGGAAACTTCAAAGAACTGGTCTGTGTTCAAAGGACTCCAATTCTCAGTCTCTGTGGCCTTTGAATATTTCTCTTCCTTGCAATTTAATTCAATTCCAACCGCGACACATTTTTCCACATGTCGAACTGGTCCAAGAAAAACTTCTTCATCATCATCATCACTTTTTCCACTAGGAAACAAAAACGCTCCTAGTTTAAGATTTTATAATTATTTTTCAATGTATAGTTCATATGCTTAAAGCCTGAACATTATAATTCCTCAAGTCAAGCATACTGTAAAAAACTTTTCTTTAAGCTCCTCACTGCTTAAGGTCACATACCAACGGCCCTAACCTGCTCCATTACTGTAGAACCAGTTCTAGACAGTGGCTGTGAACACCATTCTGTTTCCTCTCCTTCCCAGAAAAAAAATGTCTGCTATGCATTTTACACTGGCACAATGCAATATTTGCAGATTTGGTACAAATGTACATGTTAATTCTAATAATCTGTCCTTTCTGTTCCCATTTTAATGATTATACCAAGAGGCAAAAGGCGCAGATTATGCTCTTGTACTTTATTTAAGTAGCAACACCACAGAGCCCTGATGAAGGGTCCCAACCCAAACATCGACTTTCTTGCTCCTCTGATGCTTCCTGACCTGCTGTGTTCATCGAACTCCACACCATATCGACCATATATAGATGGTCTGGGTAGCAAGTATGGGCAAGCTATTTTGGTTTAGAAGGATGTGGCACAGCCATGGCAGAACAAAATCCTATTCTTGCACAATAAGCCATACACATATGCACTTGGCAACAGGTATAATCTGACTTTTTCTAGAAAATTCACTGATCGAGATCAATGTCACCACCTAATTTTTATTCAATTTTATCACTTTTTACAAATATTAAGGTCTAAAAATTAGGCCTAAAATCGATTTATAACTAATTGAAGGAACGGGCTTCTTTTGCTGCTTTCCTGATAACCTATCATGATATATGAAATTTGCAGGTCAGACAGCACAATGAATAAAATTCAAAATCGGCAGAAATTTCTTAATCCCATTTTTTTTCCACTGCAGAGATATTGTCTTACATGCCGGGTGTTGCCAATTCTTTTCTTGTTTTTATTTCAGTTTCCAGATTGAGTGATTTGCCTGGGTAACATTAAACACTGACATTTTACCTCTAGGCTTCATCTTTCTGTTCTTAAAGCAAAAGGCTGTCTCTTTTGAACTTGGTCAGAAGAGATTTCCATCACCTTGTATCATTTTACTTGCCCTAGACTGCCATCTATGAAGGGCAGCATTATGGCAAACAACGTTGTACTCACGATTCCAGACATAGTTTAACCAAAGGCCATGTGGTAATATTACATTTTATCCTTCTTCTAAGACAAGACCTCAACATCAGCAAAGAGATATGCAGTGAACTAACGGTCAGTTTATTTCACACCCTTCATTTTGATTCCTTGGTCCAAAAATAAATTTAATATTTAAACTAGATAAGCACTTTTTAAAATCTGGACACATGGCACCTAATGAAAGTGTTATTTGTAACCATTGAAGCCTTTAGCTTTGCACACAAAACTCATTTAGTTTGAAAGTTTTCATGTGCAACCATCTTTTGGTTAAAATTGCTTTTTTAAAAAAAGAAGTAACATACTTCATATTGTCATTAAATGTCTTAGAACTGAACTCAACATATATTTAGTGCAACTGGAATACTGCATCTTGTTTGTCTACCATAGCAATAACAAGCATGAGAAAAGCAAACAAAACAGAAATTGGCTTTTCCAGCAACTTGTTTTGTTTTTGATTTCCAGCATCCACAGTTCTTTATTTAATGAGAAAAGCAAAAACATTTACCTTGCAGGAGATAACAGAATATCAAAGTCAGAATTCTCTTCAGATAAAAGATTGAAATCTGAAAATACAAAGTTACACGTTGCTGAAGTGAATTAACTGAACAGAAATACATGGAATACTATTATCAATAATGAGAGGGCATCAGATGAATCACGGATGCAGGTGGGCAGGGTCTGGACAAGCGGAAAGAGGGCGGAGTCAAAATAGGAGGAAATAAGTTTGGTGGGGCAGGAACAGGCTGATACAACGGGTCTACTGGGGCTGCCTGGTTTGTGGATTTTGGGAAGGAGGGAAGTGGGCTGTCCGGGGTTGGAAGGTTACAAGGTTAGATGCAGTAGGAGGGGGATCTTTGGAGGTAACAAGATTGGTGACAGGCCTTTTCCCACGTAAAGAGAAACATACAACAATAACTGTCCTCCAGTAACATGCCAAACAATGATCAGAATCTCCTTCATATCCTCCACTATTCCTCTTCGTAGCTTTTGGATTTAACTTACATCCGTTAGCATTTCCTCTCCTACTGTTTATGCCATCTAACATTTCAGAGTCCACTTCCTCAGCTACAATGTTTGCACTACCCCCAGCAATGTACTCATTAAGACAAGATACGGACAAGTACGTGAATAGGAAAGGTTTAGTGGGATATAGGCCAAACGCAGGCGAATGGGACTAGTTTATTTTGGGAAAAGATGGTCAGTATGGACGTGTTGGACTGAAAAGCCTGTTTCCACACTGCATGACTATAATTGCTCTAACTATAAGAAACGTGTCCAGATTTTCCACCTTCACACCCAAGTTTCATCTTTGGCTTTCAACTAGCTCCACTGTTTCCATAGTTAATCTCTCACTTTTTGTGTATTCATAAAAACCATAGTGGCACCTCAAATTTCACCTCATTGCCACTGCCACTTCCACCTCTCCCAAAACGCAATTTCCACATGGCTCTATTAATCTGTATCAGAAGTTTTACACCCTTCAGCCAGCCAATTTCTTAAACTCAAAATGTATCCCAAAATTCCTTCAGCATTATCAGATATCAGTTAAAGCCAATGACTAAATTTACCTGATCATTGTATTAGGTGTACTTTCAATACAAGCAATTTAATTCATGCATGTGGAAATAACCTTTTCTGCCACTTTTGAGTGTGCCCAGCAGTTTCTTTTTAATGGTGGCTAGTGTCTCTCCAAGTACTGTGGGAGGCATAGATCACCTAAAAAATTTACTAGTTGGTGTGTTAGCTCAAGAATGCAATTTTATTTATAAAATCAAAGTTATTTTTGCATAGATTACCATCTTATGGAGTCTATATTGAACATGGGAAGGAACAATTCAGGATAAGTACTAAACTGCATTCATTCACTATTTCATACATATAATCTTTTATGATTCAACTTTTCCAGAGTTTTAATATTGAAAGAAAAAGGGTTTCCCAATTGTATATTTTACCTTTGCTTCTCCTTCAGTCTTTCATCCCATCTGAATCACTATACTTTGATCACCTTGGAGAATTTTCTACACGTCTCTATACTTGATGAATAACCTTTCTCACTTCAAAAATAGCATGAGTTGAAGGGTCTTTAAAGTGCACGAGACTTAGCCTCCAGAAGAACCTACTTTACTCCTACCCTTCCAAAATATTGCCCTAGAAATTTTCAGCATACACTTGAGCAAAAGGACAACTCAGTTTGAATGCCTCATCTGAAGGATCTGCTCCAGTATAAATTATATGATGGACCAAAATCCACAACTTTCAGGGTTAAATAACAAGAATGCTAACAATTTAGCTTTGTGAGAATGAATGAAATTAGCACAGGCTGATTGAGGTACATTAAATCCTACCATTCTAATTGACTAAATCCCCTCTTACTGCCAAATGAGGCATGCGTGGCACTTTCTTTGGGAGGGAAGCACAAGTCAATTAATTTTAAAACTGGTGCTCATATGAGGGGTTCCACACAGCTGGATTGCTATGAAACATCTGAAGTAACAAACATTTGACTACCTTGGTCAGTTTGCTCATCCATTTCTTGATTTGATCTCCACACCTGTTGGAAAATGAAGATGAATACAAGGACAGCAAAGAGTTTAAAAGTATTTTTTCAGGAAATTGTAACCTCAGGTAAACGTCAGTACACATGAAAGGAATTTAATCTCACTGCTTACAGTTAGTGCCCAACTCTCCCATCCCTTACCCTCGTCTCACTCACTCTCACTCTCTCACACACACACACACACACACACACACACACACCCCCCCTCCCCCGTCCCGTCTCCGTCTCTGTCTCTGCTCCCTTTCTCCCCCCCCAATCGGCTGGGTCGAGGACTCGGTGAAATCTTTTCCCCTTCTGGACCTTGCTCGTCCTCACCAAGTGCTCAGCGTCTCTGCAATCCCCCTTCTTTCCCTCTGTGACACACCAAATGGACGGACTAGTCTCTAACGACACTGTCCTATTTCATCGAGATTTTGAATTCTTCCGTCCCTCAGCAGGTTAGCCTCCCATTGGTGCATTTGAACGAAACCGTTACGCCTCGTTCCTTGCTGCGCCGGCGCTACTCTAGCAATGCATTCTGGGGGTTGTAGTCTATAGCCACGCGCATCCAGCTACAGCGCGGGGAAAGGATTTTTCTCTCCACAGGTTTGTGTCAGACCTGCAGCGTTTCTTTATCATTTTCTGTTTTGTTTTAGTTCCCGTATCGGCAGTTCTTTGACTTAATTTCATATTTCCAGCAAATTTATTCACTGGTGGGAAGAGTACGTCTCTGACCAGCAATTATTGGCAATCCCAAATTGCCCTTGAAAGGGGTCGGTAAGCTGTCTTCTTGAACTGCTGCGCAAAGCTGTACTTTGACCCAGTGATAGTGAGAAAAGATTTCACGGAGTCCTCGACCCAGCCGATTGTGCCTGGGGGGAGGGAGCAGAGACAGAGAAGGGTTGGGTGGTTGGTTGGTGTGTGTGAGATAGTGATAGTGAAGGAATGGCGGTATATTTCCAAATCAGGATGATGGTGTTCTCATGTATCTACTGCCCTTGTTCTTCCAGCTGGAAGTGGTTGTGCCTTTAGAAAGTGCTATCTTAGGAGTTTTGGTGTTGATAGTACACCCGTGCTGAACGTCAGTGGTGGAGAGAATGGATGCTTAAGGATGTGATGCCAATCACCTGGTTGGCATCAAGCTTCTTTAGTGTTGTTGAAGCAGCACCCCTCCAAGCAAGTGGAGGGTTTTCATCACACTCCTGACTTGTGCCTTGTAGATATGGACAGGCTTTGGGGAGTCTGGATGAAAGTTGCCACAGAATTCCTAGTCTCTAAACTTGCCCTTATAGCCACTATGTTTATGTGGCGAGTCCAGTTGAGTTTCTAATCAAAGGTAATCCCAAGGATTTTGAAAGTGGGGGATTCAGTTATGTTAAGACCATTGAATGTCGAGGGACAGTGGTTAGATTGTCTTTTAATGGAGATGGTCATTGTCTGACATTTGTACAATTCTACCATCAGGCAAGTGCTTGTGTGGAGTTTGCACATTCTCCGTGTCTGCGTGGGTTCCTCCCACAGTCCAAAGCTGTTCAGGTTAGGTGAATTGGCCATGCTAACTTGCCTAGTATCCAGGGGTATGGAGGTTAGGTGGATTAGCCATGGGAAATACAGGGTTACAGGGATGGGGCGGGGGGTGGAGATTGTTGGTTGATCTGGGTAGGATATTCTTCAGAGGGTTCATGTGGAATGGATGGACCAAATGGCCTGTTTCCACACTGTAGGAATTCTATGAAATATAACTTGCCACTTGTCAGCCCAAGCCTGGATATTACATTTGCTTCAGTAGGATGAGTGCTGGATATTGGGCAATCATCAGCAAACATCCCTATTTTTGACCTTATGATGAAGGCAAAGTTATTGAAGCAGCTTAGATGGTTGGGTCTAGGACACTACCTTGAGGAGCTCCTGAAAAGATGTCCTGCAGCCAAGATTACTGACCTTTAACAACCATAAACATCTTCCTCTGTGGCAGGTCTGACTCCAACCAGAGGAGGGTTTGCCCCCTGATACCACACTCGGTCAAATGTAGCCCAGATTTCAAGGGCTGTCACTCTCACCTCACCTGTGAAATTCAGCTCTTTTGTCCATATTTGAACCAAAGCGGTAACGAGCTCAGGAACTGAGTGGCCCTGACGGAACCCAAACTGGTCGCTGAGCGGGTGCTTGATAGCACTGTTGATGACACTTGCTATCACTTTACTGATGATCAGGAGAAATTGATAATGGAGTGTGGTAATTGGCTGGTTTGGATTTGTCTTGCTTTTTGTCTGCATGACATACCTGGGCAATTTTCCACATTATTGAGTACATACCAGTGTTGGAACTGTGCTGGAAGAGCTTGGCTAGGGTAGGGGCAAGTTCTGGAGCACAAGTCTTCAGAACTATTGTCAAAGTGTTATGGTATTAAAGGGACCATGGTAACAGGTGCATAGCGTGCTAAGGGTCGAAGAAGTAGAGTTGTGGCAAGCGTAATATTTTTCTGACCGAGTAAATCTTGCAGCATATCTACTGGCTGCCCTTAAGTAGCACAGTACAAAGAATGGTCAGGTTCCACTGACAATACTCAAATCCTCTTTTTCACAACTCTCATTTCCTTTGTTGTCAGCCTGTTGCAAAACACCCAGTATTGTATAAATGACTAATTCCCTCAAGATTTTCTTAACTGAATCTCCCTTTACAAATGCAGCCAGACCTGCTGAGTATTTCCAGTATTTGTTAGAGATGGTTATTGCCACTTATCAGCCCAAGACTGAATGTAGCCTGAGTCCTGCTGTGTGCAGACACCAATTGCTTTGTTTTGAGGCACTGTGAATAGAACTACACATTATAGTCATACAGAAAAAAATACTCCACTATCATAAAGTCAAAAGTAAGACTCATTGACAGAGTAACTGAAAGTGGTTTGGCTGAAGATGATAGCCTGAAGAACTGACGCAATGCCTTCGAGTTGAGATGAACAGCTTCTAATCACCACAATTAATATCCTTTGGACTAGATATTACTCAAACCAGGGAGGTTTTCCTCCTGTTCCAATCCATAATGTAAGGTCTGTGATTTACATATTAAAGTCATTTATTTGAGTCTGGATTCTGAACTGGTGGCGTGTTTGTTCTGGTCTGCATGAATGAAATGGTTTAGTAATTAACTTGTTGTATTTGTAGAGCCATGACTTTAAACCAGTATGTCCACACAATGGATCACTGGGATCATAATGTGAATTTGTTGTACGAAGAGAGTTCTTCAGTCAAAGAGAATAAACATAAATATATTGGCTTGTCTTTGGTTTAGATATATCAAGAACAGATTAGAGACTAGAAGGGGGACCTTCTAGATTGGAAAGCTTTTGGGGCAGTTTGCAGAAGACCTGGCTGGGTCAAATGTAATAGTTTCTGCTGGAGAGGAGATACCTCAGAACAGTTAGGAAATAGGTTAGCTTAGTGTAGTTGTAGTTTGAAAATTCCAGGTCAGGGGCATTTGGTCAGAAACCTGAAGGGGTTATTTGAATCAAAGACAATTTATGATCAGTTTTATAAATAATCAAATAATCTTGAGAATTTGAAGAAATTAAACCTATTGATGTGATAGAAAGTGATGCTATTGGCCATATATTGGATTTTGTTTTACTGTTTTGAAATTTTTCCAATAGTGATAAATGTAAATACTTTGGTCTGTTTATCTTTTGTATAATAAAACTTGTTTCATTGTTAAAACCAAATCTGCTGCACTGCATCCTTATGTTTGAGTGAAAGACCACCAGTTTAAAATCTTTTTAAAATGGTCCATCTTGCCAAATGTCAGCCTAGAATCTGACTCATCCTGTAGCAATATCAGCTAGGATCATAACACATTAACCACAATTTTAAGGGCTCCTTAATGCCATACTTGGTCAAATGCTGCCTTGATAACCACTCACTCACGTCTGGAATTCAGTTTCTTTCGAGCAGGTTTGAATGAAGGCTGTATTGAGGTCTGGTACAGAATGCTTGTAGCAGAATTCAAACTGAGCACTGGTCATTGATTATCCCAAAAATATAAAAATAAATAGCTTCAATTAATTATATTGGTCCTTAAAATACTTTGGGAAAAGAAAAATAAGTGAAATGCCTATTTGAAGAACTAGCACCAACCTGATGGTTCAAATGCCCTCCCTTCTGCATTGCAACAATTGAGATGGAGCACTTTTACAGAAAAGTTTTTACAAAGCAATACCACAACACAGGAGAACATAGCCACCAAATTCTGCAGTGAGGTATTCCCAAGCAAGAGAATAATTTAACAAGCTAACTGTTTCTTTCCTCTCTAGTGATGGTTTGAGAGTCAGTACATATTTGTGAAGGGTGGGTCATGTTTTCAGTTACCAGCGGGGACCTTTTGCAAGTTCACGTACAAGATTCTGCACAAGGTTTGAAAAGTTTAAAGCACACAGCTTATGTCAGTTTAACGTGGGCTGGCAATTAGTTGGGAGGTAGAGAAGGACTAAATAGAACACCCTGATCAACAGGACATAACAATTAGTGTTTCCATGCCAGTGATCTTCTGCAGGTCCTGTTTTTACCTTCACTGTCATATCTTCCTAAAGTGCTATATCCAAATATGCAGATAACATTAAACTGGAGAACGTAGAAGATGTAGATAAGAGCACAAAGCTACATTGGAATACAGACCATCCCAGTGGGCAAGTAATGCCAGATGGAGATTAATCTGGGAAAGGTTGAACAGGTGTGCTTGTACCCATTGGGATTTAGAAGAATGAGAAATGATGAGTGACACAGAGATCCTGACAGCATTTGATAGGGTGGATATCAGGAGGATGTCTCTTGTTGAACTAAGGGACATAGTTTGAAAGGGTGACCTCTTGCCCTTAAACTAAGAACTTAGGTGAATTTTTTTTCATGAAGGACATTACCATGTGGCATTTTCTTGTCCAGAAAACGGTAGCAGCTGGGTCATTGAGTTTAATCAAGGTAGAGTTAGATTTCATTTTACAGTCAAGGGCGTCAAAGATTACTGATAGGAATGCAGGGTGCAGTGCACAGTCAAGAAAGTGCAATTGAGGCCATAACTAGATTAGTCATAATTTTATTGAATGGCACAGCAGGCTGTAAGGGCAAAATGGCCTACTCCTGCTGCTAATTTTTTTTTTATGTACCACATGAAAATGCTATCATTAACTAAGTCACAAGTTGAGTTGTGCAACCCAGACACAAGTGAGTATTATAGCTTATCAGAGCAATTATTTACTCATGTCTGTAAATTTATTAAAGCACAAGGAAAACATTTAAATATATTTGAATTCATTCCTTTAAAACTGGACAGACCCAACTTTTTATGTACATTACTGTCAAAACTAGATATGATGTGGTAATCCTCCAGGAATCCAATAAGTATTTCTCTTTCAGAATATGTTATTAATTCACAGGTGTTGCTGGTTTTGCATCTTCCAGGTCAGCATCCAACCAACGGTACTTGCGATGACGTCGCACAACTTCAATTGCTTTTTGTTCAATAGGTGTTGGAGTGATTCCCAAGTCTTCCAGACCAGGAAGGTCAAGGTATTTAAAGTCTGTGATGTGCAACTAAAATTCATAAACATATAGATACAACAAAACAATTATTTTAGTACTCTGAAAATTGAGTCATTAAAATGTTTGCATTGTGTATAATATTATCTTTTTAAGAATAAGACTTAAATTTGATTAAAATTTTAAATTTAAATAGGAAAGCTTCCAATAAATAATTTGTACAGAGCCTAAACTTAAAATTCATATACCATACATTTCTTAAAAAAAAAACTGGCTGCAAAAATCCATACAACATCCCAATATCAAATCCAAGGCTGATGAAACTCTACCTCGATCCCCAGTTGTTAATCTAAGATTATGTAGTGAGAGGTCAGGGGAGCTGAGATTCATTGGGATTGGGAGAGGGAAACCTGGAACTGGAGGGCAGTTGTGGCTCAAAATGGGTTTCCCCTCTTCCTCACTCTGCTTCGTCTCTTTCCCTGGTCATGAGTGGCTTCCTGATTCTTGGACTTCTTGTGCAACAGTTGCTGACATGAAAGCACAACAAAGATTTTCAATCACTGGGGACCCAACAAATAAATGCAAAAAGGAGTAGAAATCAGGTGATCAGAATATCACAGTCAAACCTGCAGGAATGCTTCAGAGTTAGCAACCCAAGGCCTGACCTCAGGATATAGTTGAGCCAAATGATATGCATTTAGAATAGATTGGGTCATTGCAATTGGACTGCATATTCAGAATGTTTATAGACTAGGCACAGAGGTCACAGGAAAAACTATCATATGAAACATATGCTTGGTAATCCACATGAGCAGCACAATAGAAAATTTACTATTTTAAAACCTTGGTTATATGAACATTTCCCAGTTCCAAAAATCACATCCTCAACACATTGGATATTAAAGGGTATGATAACCAAAATCTTAAACTGGCTCAAAATTTACATTCATAAACTGTTAACAAATAGCAAAGTAGCATGATTTACAAATGAAAAAAAATGAATAGCAAAATCTCTGCTATAAAATTAATAAAGTCAATCTGCCATTACTCGATAATTATTAATTTTGTTGAATTAATCATGTTGTTCAAAATGTGTCTATCCTGCCAACATTAACTTTGCCATCCACCCAAGGCAAAACAAAATTCTAAGAACCAATATATAAATTGGGGAAAATAACAAAATTCAAGCTGTTGATAACCTGACAGTATCACAACCGTCCTAATAAATGGAAGGAAATGATGTGAAACCCATCTTAGTTCACCAATTGAAAAAAAACACTCAAAAGTCACATACTTTGGACAGTGTTAGCTAACTTAAGAATGTTAGACAAAGGAGAAATTCCTGTTCCTCAAAAAGTGTCATTTGAATAAAATAGCTGTCTAGATTGAGTATTCAAGGTCTAGAATATAACTAAATATATTCTAAGGTGATCTCAGTGAAGAAACTTGAACTGTTAATCCAGATGTCAGCATATGTCACACAGAATTATAATTGATGACTATGGCACATTTCTGAAGATACTTTTGACTTTTCTTTCCATTCTTGATTTAAAAATCCAATGCCAACTGACCAAATAATGTACTAAGCATGGCAAAGGTGCTAAAACCAAACCAAAACCAAACACATACCCTATCCACTTTGTCGCGGGATGTCCATTGATCAAAAGGGCTCAGCTCAAAAAATCTTGCCAACAAACTGTGGTAAGGGAATAACAGCAAACAAACTGGTTACTGAGCATGCACAATGTAGCATAAAACTGCTAAAGCCCATTATACTGATTTACAGTATGTTTGAAATCTACAATCTTCAATCTAGAACTCTGTTCCTTCTTTCAAATTAGAAATGTACATATGCGGTGAAAAGCTGTTTTAACTGAATATAAATTAAATTGTACAACTGTAAAGAATGTATCCAATTCTCTTTGGAAAGTCATTGTTTAATCTGCTTTCAGGAGAAAAGCAGCAGAAGGATAAAGACCGGGGGGATGTGTGCGCACAGCAGCAACTTGTTTTATGCTTTTCATGTATAAACCATCCCATGATACATCATAGCAGCATTGTCATTAAAGTTGACACAAGAACCAGAGATATCAGAGCAGTCAACCAAACTTTCGGTTAAAGATACTGATCTGGAAATTGTCTTAAAGATGGAAGAGCCATAGAGTGACAATGATATGTATAGAGGGAATTCTGGAGACTGGGGCTTTGGCAATTAATGGCATGGCCATCTATGGTGGAGCTTTTAAAATTAGAGTTTCTGAAAATGCCAGAACTAGAGAACCTGAGGGTTGTAGAGCTGGAAACATTGGGATTGTTCTGCTCAGAGTAGAGCAAGTTAAGCATAGGTAGGCAGTTTTGATAACATGGAAATGGAAAAACTATTTCCAATGGCAGGAAAGTCCATAACTGTTTCTTTACATAGCAGATTACTGCAATCAGAAATGCACTCTCTGAAAAAGAGTGGTGAAAGCAGATCCAACAATGACATTCAAGGGAGTTAGATAAATACTTAAACAAGGAAAACATGCTGGGCTCTAGAAAAGCAACAGAAGAGTAGGTATAGCTTTACAAAGAGGGGGCGCTGGCACGATGGGTAGAACAGTATCCTGTCTGTGCTGTACCACTATAATTCTACGACGAGACAGATAGATACATGTTGAAACCTGAAGTATGCCTCAACTGCACAAAAGATACATCAATTCAGCTATGTCAATAGACAAGGTTAAACCAGTTACAAAATTAAGGAGGGGGAAAAATCCTCCTGACCACCAGATCAAATGATTTTACCAGAGACACACCGCTGTTGTGCAATGAAAAAGGATCAATATAAAAACAGGCAGGAATTGAGAATCAGAAAACAGACACCAGTATACAAGGTAATTCCATATTTTTCCCATACTTTTGATGTTTGGGACAATTAGAAGGCTACAATTACTAAAATGTGACAATATTAACTTTGGAGCCCAAGCAGATTTGTTGTTCCAGTTTGTTTAGAACAGAAAATTGAATATTTTTACTCATGGGATGTCAGCATTACAGGCTCAGCCAGCTTTTGTTAAACCATCTTAGTTGTCCTTGAACGGAGTGGCTTGGTCATAACTCAGAGGACAAGAAAAAGAGTCAACCACATTGCAGTGGGTCTAGAATCACAAAGGCCAGACTCGGTAAGGATGCTCAAAAAAGGATTTTATTCAAGTTTGGTTTTCATTGAATCAAAATTTCACAAACTGCCACACTACAGTTCTGGATTGCTATTGCAGCAAAATTACCACTATGCTACCGCCACTCCCCTGGATACTAAGACTATACCTGGGGTAATTTCTGTATTATATATTTTAATATATTTTTAGTTTCTTTTAATTTTAACTATAGCAATAACCACGGGTCATGAGTTCTACCAAGTTTTTGTTCTCAAATGTCACAGTAGGAAATAGTGAACAGTGCCTTCAAGTTTTTTTTAAGAAAGAAAAAAATCGGAATTGGAAGTTTAACAGAATATTCACTTTCAAAAGGGGTCTTTAAAAAAATTAAAACAATATTCCTAGCTGCATAATTAAATTAAAACACCCTCAGTTAGGTTATGAAGAACAACAGTATGCAAATCTAGACATGAACCAGGTAAGCTGAGAAATTCATATCTGTTTATAGGCAAAAATGACTGGTTTTGGACTTCCTTTCAAACAGCTTGTTCACATCCCTGCTGTATATTCCATCACTGTAATCTTATAGCTTGTACTCACTGATAGATAGGCCTTGGCATTGGGTATGAAACAAATGGTCTATGCATAACAGCATATATGTATTTCACAAGGTCGTGAAGAAGGTATCGATGAGGCCTGTTAAACAAAAAAAGTGTAAACTCTACTCAGGCACATAGTATTCAATCCATCACCTATTACAGAGAGGAATCATATTGATAGGCTAGCATAAGTACACCACATAATTAGCTTTATTATAAAATTAGTCAAATTGCAAATTTACATATTCCAATCTGTATTGTTAATTTCAAAGTCAAGGATAATTACTCTGAAACTAAATATTCCCTTTAAGCTACAAGGCCGATGCTAAAGCAATAGCAATGCTAAAGCCTCCACACAAGGCACACACAAAATTACTGAGCATGCATGGTCATGCAAAAACAAAATGGAAAAGGAGCCATGCATTTTAACATTTTGTTCCCCAACTCCAAAAAAGTTATTCTGCAGTCTAAATTTTGGTTTCATTACAATTCATAACCAGGTGAACAAGTAATCATCTTTATTTGTATTTATGTTCAAATTCCTGCCACAATACATGCTCGATCACAAGCAACCAGATGTAAGGTGCCGAGGCTGCAGCCATGGGTTACTGCCACAGTGATCAAGTGGTGGTTGAAAGAGATTCTGTTGAAAGCAGATGGATACTTTGGGACAGGTAGGAATCAAACCAAGATACTGTGGTGGACAGCAGGGCAAAAGAGAATGGAAAACAAAACAGAAGTAATCATATGGTCAACAACTAAAAAAGGAAGGGCAAAGTGATTCTATTCACATAGAATTTTGTTGTTGAATTTGACTAAGGCAATTCTAGTGCCGTAGACACGACAGAAAGCAAACTGAAGGAATTTGAACAGGGTGGTGATGTTTTAGGACTCAAGAGTGAAGGAAGTTTACAAACGAATTGATAATTGATGAGATTGACTGGTCCACAGATAAGATGTTTTGAAGATAAAAGTGATAACAGCATTGTTAAAACAAAGCATTAATGTTTAAAGAAAGAAAGACTTTGATGATTAAAAGACTTTGATCTGGGGGAAATCAAGCATTGGGTCAAGCAGAAAATAATCTCAATGAGAGCTGAGGAAAAAGTAATGAGGAGAAACAACACACCAAAAACTAAGCTGCTGTAAGGGGTCAAAGAGAATTTGGGCAGAAGGAAGCTGAACGAAATGTTAACTTTAAAACTTACCCAACTATAACATATGATTTTCCACTGGTGTCAGGGTCTTTAATAGCATTTACAATCGCTTTGGCCACATCCACGACCTACATGTTATTAAGTTCGAAAAATATGCTTACATATCAGGATTTTAAGTACCAGCTAAATAATTTAAAACCATTTCTTATGTACATACATATACAGGTTGCTTTACAGTCTTCATGCCCATAGAAATGAGGGGTGTGGCACGTCCAAACCAACGCATATCTAGGAAAATGCAACAGTATCCAATGATATATTTGAAAATGAGTAAAATATTTTTGTAGAAAACAAAGACATGAGAAGCTGAAAATTTGCATATATATAGTTTACTCTTCAAGCCTTCATTTCATTTGACAGTAAAATAAAACAGTTGCATAGTGATACTTAAGTGGAGACTTTTTATTCATACTTACTTCTAATCCAGGCTCTTACAGCTAAACAATTTCTTTTCATCTGGAATGTCTTTAAATGTCTGAACTGGAATTTAAGAAAGAATACTTGCCTTTCCCTTGCATGCTATTAGCTCTAACCTCAAATTCATGATCTGGGGCCCTTAACTTTTCACAGTCCAATTTATACAGATTAGGCCTTTATTCTCAGTTAATATCTGCTGGTTTGTTTCATAATGTTTTTGTATGCATTTTGTGCCCAAGAGTAGCTTTGCTCCATTGTTATTAGCCATTTAGCTGTTGTATCAAGTACACAGAATTAACTTGTATACCTGTCTACAGTAAGTCAAATCAGATATTGATGGTCTCATTCACTGAATCAGCCTCACCAAGCCTTCAGCAGTTTACCACAGAGAACGAATGCATTTTTTGCACTGAGAATAAGTACAAGGTTGCAAATTGCTTCTAACTTGATGCATTATAGTCATATCATAATTGGATTTTGTCTAGCTACAGGAGATGAAATTCTCTGTTGTATAAAAAGTTAATTAATTCTCACTTTAGTAAGATACAGTCAGCACGGATTTGCGAGAGACAAAGTATCTATTTTGGGTTAACCAGGTAATATGATGAAATAACAAGGTTGACAAAGGCAGGGAAGTAGAAATTGTATATATGGACTTTAAAAAGGCACGTGATAAAGTGCTGCAAAACAGACTCAAAAAAAGCACACAGTATCGAAGGGGCAGTGATAACATAGGATGAGGCTGAGTCCCCTATCAATGCCACTTTGTCATCCTCAAACATCGAAAGCAGCTGCCTGTCTGAACAGGGCACTGCAGGATGTAAAATACAGTTACCTGCACAACAGAATCAGTTTATTTTGTTCTTATATCTGCTCTCTCTCCCACTTGTTAGCTAGATAAAACTTAGAAGAATTCTTTCCATCCTGCAAAGTACCACTTGAGAAGATACAGTAATCATATTCCATAGGAATTCTAAAAAGGCACCTGGACATGAATTTAAAAGGAACTAATTTTGCAGGTAAGAGGAAAGTTTAGGTGCAGGCTTAAATTGGACAGGTCTTCGGAATAGTCAATACAGGTCCAACAGGTATATGATTCTGTACGTAAATATATACAAAGCTTCCAAATAAGACACTTGCCCAAATATTTAATGATTCACAAAAAGTGAACTGAGATTGAAAGCACATTATGCTTACGAAAAAGAAAATAGTTACTTGCAAAATAGTTGAGGAATTTGTCCTCTCTTCCAAAAATTTCAGACGGTTTGATGATGACAGAATCTGGGAATTCTTCCCGCACAACCTTTTCTCCAACAGCCTGCCAAAAAATATTCAAAACAAGCAAATTTCCACTTTGTTCTGTGGATTTTAATATTTTAGGTAGAGATTCTAAATTCCAAAAAAGTCACACATTCTTCCTACCTTTGTTCTTAGTAGCTTTGAAACACTCTTCATGTGCGCATTAAGATGAGAAACGTGGATTAATTTTTCAACTCCAGATTCACTGCACGCACGAGCAATATCCTGTGCGATTTTGATGTTAACATCCTCAAATTTGAAGTTCCTAAAAGAAGGTAAGTGATTTAAACACCGATGCATAACAGAAGAACTGCATTATTTTTGGCTGTCATTATCAAACACTCCCAAATAAAGTTAGACACAGAGTAAAGGTGAACTTAACATACAGTCATACAGCATGGAAACAGATCCTTTGGTCCAGCCAGTCCATGCTGAACATAATCCCAAATTAAGCTAGTCCCACCTGCCTGTTCATGGCCCATATTCCTCCAAACCTTTGCTATTCATGTACTTATTCAAATGTTTTTTAAATGTTGTAATTGTGCCCACATCCATCACTTCCTCAGGAAGTTCATTCCACACATGAACCACCGCTGTGTAAAAAATTTGCTCCTCATGTATTTTTTAAAACTTTTTCTCCTGTCACCTTAAAAATGTGCCCCCTAGACTTGAAATTCCCCCATCCCAGGGTACCTAGACCCCTCTATTTTATAAACTTCAATCAGGTTACCTCTGAACCTCCTACGCTCCGGTGAAAAAAGTCCCAGCCTACCCAGCCTCTCTTTAGAACACAAATCTTCCACAGCCAGCAACATCCTGGTAAATCTCTTTTGAACCCTCTCCAACTTAATAATATCCTTCCTATAATTGGGCGACTCGAACCGGAAACAGTATTACAGAATAGGCCTCACAAATGTCCTGTACAACTTCAACATGACTTCCCAACTCCTTTACTCAAAGGACTGAGCAATGAAAGTGAGCACGCGAAATGCCTTTTTAATCACACAATTTATATGTGACACAAACTTCAAAAGAATTATGGACTTGAACTTAGAACAGTGGGATAAAGTCAGAGGACAACATCACAGAAAAAGACCCTTTAAGCCCATCAAGTCTGCACCAGTCAAAAACCACCACATAACTACATTTTCTAGCACTGGCCCCAGAGCGTTGTATGGTTTGGCATTGAAAGTGACATCTAAATACTGCCTCTACAACTCTTACAAGCCCCAAGTTTCAGATTCCTATCACCGCCCGGGTGAAAACATTTTTTCCTTACGTCCCCTCTAAACTTCCTGCCTCTTACTTTAAATCTAGACTTCCTGGTCATCGATTCCTCCAGCAAAGGGAAAGTTTCTCCTGTCTACCCTGTCCATCACCCCACTATCCCACACATCTCAATCATGTGCCCCCCTCAGTCTCCTTTGCAGAGGATAGACACAGAATATGCACTGGAGATGAAACAGGCTTTATGTTTGGAAGCAAATATAGTAAATTCGTAAATAAAAAATTTGATTAAATGGCCTTACAAGTTGTGAAAGGTTCATGACAAGTGGTGGTGAAGCAAATTTGGACATTGTCCACACTTGTATTGAAACTGGCCACAAGTGGAAGGCTTCTGCTCCCTCTTTTTTTTTTAAAAACATAAAATCCAGTAGCTAAAGTGAAACATTACAGACTAGAAACAATGTCTGGGGAAATGGCCAGTTTTGCATTTGGTCTTTGTATAATAGTATGAAATGGCTGGTAGCTATTGGGCAGTACATATTACATTTCTCCCAATTTCGGGATTGTGGTTCGGTTGGTAGCGTTTCGGCCTCAGTCAGAAGTTTGAGGGTTTAAGTCCCACATTAAGACAGGAACAAAATAAATAAATAAATACAAGCCTGACATCTCAGTGTAGTGCTGAGGAAGAGCTGTCATTCAGAACTAAGGCTTCATCTGTCCTCTCAAGTGAAGATTCCAAAGCACTATTTTGAAGAGCATTTACAGCAACAGTTCTTCCCCAAAGAGTATTACGGAAGAAGCAAGATTATCTAGCCATTATGACATTGTTGTTTGCAAGAACTGGTAATGTGAGGATTGGCTGCCACATTTCCAACAATAGCAAAGTAATCACAAAAAAGTACTGCATTGGCTGTAAAGCTCTTTGGAATGCCTGTAGTCACATGCAACTGCAATTTTTATTTTTATTTCTTTGTGGACCAGAGGGCTCCATGTTTTAATGGTTGGTGTGTGCAGAGTTGAGTAAAATCATCTAAGGGTGTTTGTAAACTGCTGCAATTTCTATCAGTTAAAAAAAAAAGTGATCTTCTGAAATCTCAGATCAGTTTTAGTCAGTGCCTTGAAAAGAGGTGGATAACTAATACAAATTCTACTCTTGCAGCAGCCAAGTGGGGCTGGGTCTGCATTTGCATCCACTTAGGTAAAGCTTATGAGAAGATTTGTAGCTCAGGTTGTGGATGAGGTTGGAGATTTGCTCGCCAAGCCAGTGTGTTTGATTGAGGACGTTTTGGCACCCTATTAGGTAACAATTGCCAGTGTGCCTCTGATGAAGCATTGGTGTTCTGTCCTGCTTGTTATTTATATGCCTCAGTTTGCTGGGTTCGTTAGCATAATTTCCGGTTCTGTTCTACAGCGGTTTGTATATCGGATCCAGTTCAATGTGTTTGTTGATGGAGTTCCAGTTGGAATGCCAGATCTCCAGGAATTCCCTGGCATGTCTGTTTGGCTTGTGCTATTACGGATGTGTTATCCCAGTTGAATTTGTGTCCTTCTTTGTCCGTGTGTACTGAGACCAGTGAGAACTGGTTGTGTCTTTTGGTGGCTAGTTGGTGTTTGTGTATCGTTATTGTCAGTTTTCTTCCAGTTTGGCCTATGTAATGCTTCTCACAGTCCTTGCATGGTAATTTGCATATTACATTGATTTTATTGGTTGTGGGTATGGGATTCTTTACGTTCATCAGTAGCTGTCTTAGGGTGGTTGTTGGTTTGTGGGCTACCCCGATACCTAGGGGTCTGTGTAGTCTCGTGGTCATCTCCGATATGTCTCTGATGTACGGTAGGGTGACCAGTGTGTCTGGCTATGTTGTGTCTTCTTGTTGTGGTCTGTCACAGAGGTAATGGCAGATTGTGCTTTTTGGGTATCCATTCCTTCTAAAAACTCCGTACAAGTGCTCCTGTTCTGCTTTGCGCAATTCCAGGTTGCTGCAGTGTGTTGTAGCTCATTTGAATAATGTCGTGATGCAGCTATATTTATGGGTGTTGGGGTGGTTGCTGGTGTAATTAAGTATCTGGTCCATATGGGTGGTCTGTCTGCAATATGCTGGACTGTAGTTCCCCGTTGTTCTTACGCTCCACCATTACGTCTAGGAAGGGTAGTCAGTTATTGTTCTCTTCTTCTTTTGGTGAATTTTATTCTGATGAGGACGTTGTTTATGTGTCGTTGGGTTTCTTCTAGTCTTGTGCATTTGATAATCACAAAGGTGTCATCTATATAGCGGACCCAGATTTTGTGTTGGATAGTGGGGAGCACTGTCCGTTCTAATCTTTGCATTACTGCTTCTGCTTTCAGTCCTGATATCGGGGATCCCATGGGTGTTCCGTTGATTTGTTTGAATATACGGTCGTTGAAGATGAAGTGGGTTGCGAGGCACAGATCCAACAATTTCAGGGTGCTGTCCTTGTTGATGCTGTTTATGTCATGGGGTGCCTGCCTTCCTGATTCGTCCAGCAGTGCGGCAATTGTCTCTTTAGCTAGGTCGACATTTGTGGATGTAAATGGTGCTGTTACATTGAAGGATATCATTATCTCGTTCTCTTCTATTCTGGTGGCCTTGACGATGTTGAGGAATTCTTATCGACTGAAAATGAGGATATACGAACACCAACCAGTCACCAAGAGACACAACCAGTTCCCACTGGTCTCAGTACACACGAACAAAGAAGGTCACGAATTCAACTGGGACAACACATCCATAATAGCACAAGCCAAACAGAGGCACACCAGGGAATTTCTGAAGGCCTGGTATTCCAACTGGAATTCCATCAACAAACATATTGAACTGGACCCGATATACAAACCATTGAAAAACAAAACTGGAAGTGATGCCAACTATCCCACGAAACCGAGGCATATAAATAACAAGCAGGACAGAACACCAATGCTTCACCAGAAGTGCACTGATGATGTTATCTAGCAGGGTGACGAAACGTCAGCAATCAAACACACTGGCTTGGTGAGCAAGTCTACAACTTGGGTAGAGGTTCCCAGATCAGAAACAAAACATATCCTAATGTGTGGAATATGATTTACATCCAAAAAAATAAATTTAATATAGTAAAATAAATAATGACTGTTCTGACTTTGGTAAAGATTGACACTTACCGTGTTTCCCATTCACGTCCAACAAGATTAATAACAACATTGGAATGTTCCACAGCCCGTCTGGTGGAATCTTTATCTCTAGGATTCCAGTCCTGACAATCAAATTAATCTTATTAGAAGACCAATTAAAAATTCAGTCAGTCTTTGAGACATTAGTGTCCAACATTAGGGAGGCGATGGCTAGTGGTATTATCGCTGGAATGCAAATCCAGAGACCCAGATAACCTTCTGGGGACCTGTATTCAAATCCTGCCATGGCAGATGGTGGAATTTGAATTCAAATTCAAATTCAATAAACATCTGGAATTAAGAATCTAATGATGACCATGAATCCACTGCCGATTGTCGGGAAAAACCCATCTGGTTCACTAATGTCCTTTAGGAAAGGAAACTGCCATCTTTACCTGGTCTGGCCTCCATGCGACTCCAGACCCACAGCAATGTGGTTGACTCTGAACTGCCCTCTGGGCAATAAATGCTGCCTGGCTAGCGACACCCTCATCCCGTAAAAAGAAGAAAAAAAAAATGCTACGTCAATCCTGGCAATCCACCCCTCAAAACTAAGGCAGTTCAGCTTTTTGCATTTTCATTTGTTACTTGGTGGTTTCCACTTCTTAATTTCTTAGTGCTGGAGGTTTGCAAGGGGATTCTATAATATGACTGCCTCCTTGTGGCTAAATCAGATTAGTCAATGCCAGCAATTTGAGATATGGAGAAATTACTGGGAAAATGGATTTAACCTTTATAGCAGGTCATTTAGGCTCCTTAAAATGCAGCCTTTAACACACTTGTCATTTCAATCAGTTCCTTAGATTCAAATGCTTTCACCATGCAGATTGCACGTTTCCCGATCATTCAATCCTGTCTTTTTCCTTTTAAATTGAATAAATGACTCCTCAATTCAATATCACTTTCATAATATATTAACTTTATGATGTGCTTAAAAAGTTATCTTCCCAGTAGTTTATAGTAGGGTATTAGTCCAAATCCAAAACATTGGCACACTAACTGGATAAAAAGAAAATTTGAGTGTTGTTGCTTTTCCTGTTAGAAAGTGGGTGACACATTTGCACATTGCTACTTCTCCCATAACAGCTCGATAATTTTACTTTCAGTTGTGTAGGGATGTCTTCAATTGCTGTTTGCCCCTTACAGGTTCATTTAAACCTGGTATTTCAGCACAAGCTGAAATCGTAGTACAAACTTGCGTTAATATCTTAAATATACTTTTGGAAACTCAAAACATCCAAGAGTTATACATTTCAAATTTTCTTGCAACAGTATTTGAGACTCACAAGAAAGGTCAGCTGTCCCAGATCACCCATGACTCTGAGATGATTGACATCGTATGGATCACAGCGATGTGGTATCACTACCTGAGAGCCAATTCGCCCTAAAAAGAATGAATTATATAATCAAAGGTTTGTTTAATACACAAACTAAAAATTATCTTCCAGTGTCATCTGTGTAACAGTGCTGCATAAAATGCCAAAACCTCACCTTTCCTTTACTGTCAAGGACAGTTCTAAGATCAGACACCAAACTGGGGGCTACCTGAGAAACTTAGCATGCAAAATTTCTAATTTTAATTCAATCATGGAGTTAAGTCATTCAGCACATTGAAGTAATCCTCTATTACATTTACAATGACATCAATGCTACCTCTCAAAAAAATCCTTCTAGTGTTAAACTCTCCTTTGGCCTCTTTGGAGGAGCCGAACCGTTTAATTGTGACATCTAATTCTGTTTTTCACAAGCTGTACAATTATTTTGCTTTGCAAATTATTAAGCATGAGTAAATAATTATCTAGCTATTGCATTAAATTCACTCTTTTCTAATTTACTTGGTACATTCTGAGGCACAGTCTGGGTTTCTCTCAATATATAATTTATTCTTCCCTGCTTATCATCTTTACACTAAGGTCAGCCTTTTTCCACACATCTTCTAATGTAGGAGTATTTAGGTAATACCCAAAGTATTTCAACCAAAGTGAGCAGTATACTTGAAAACAAATGTTTACATCCTACCATTCTTGCTGTAAATGTGAACAATTAACCTATTAAACAAATTCCTTCACTGGTTATAACCTATGTTCCCTCTAATTATTTTTCTTCTGGATGGAGCTCCATGCACAGCAGTGACTTCTGAAACTGGAAGTCAAGATGCGATGCACTGATTGATGTTCACAGCTAAGAGGAAATGTTGGTTATAAACAGAAAGCAAAGATTTTGACCCCAACTAGATATGCGCAGGGACAGTTAGGTCATGGCTACAGGTGGCACTTAAAAAGATAGCATTTTATCAGTGAACTTACAATGAATACCCCACAAACATAGACACAATGAATGCAAAATTGTTTGAACTCAAACAGAAAATTCAGATGGGATTCCAAAGGGGAAAAATGTGCTTAAATAAAATGTTAGTCAGTGACCACAAAGATCTAGGCTTTTTCTAAAAGAATTATCGCACAAGTGTTGCACTGGACTTTTACAAATGGTAGCTACAAGCACACAATAACGGACGGAAAAAGGACAAACATAAATGCCCAATATGGGAAGTAAGATGTATTATTTCAATTCTGGATGTTTAAAATCAACATCCACACTCTCAATATGACAAACAGACGACCTCTATGGGTCAACAGAGTAACAGTAAAAGCTGTTACTGTTTGTATCTACACCTGCAGGAGATCTGCTGCTATAGTAGGCCATGAACATCTGTCTACTGTCATGCTTGCACATCCACTGTAGCTTCTCTGTAAACATTTTGTGACATACGTCATCCAACTAGTCAGAGATCAATCCTTTCTGCTAGCCTCTGGAAAAGATCTCTGCAACTTTCCAGTTCTGACCAAATAGCTGAAATATTGACTCTCTTCTGCCTAGAAGTCCCTTTCTAAAAGATTATTTTTCACTCTTCCAACTTCAAGTAACTGTTTGTCTTATGATCTTTATATAGAATTTTCACTTGATCTTAGCACAAATTTTAAAGGCCTCTTCATTTTTAAATGGATCTTTACCTATTGACCAGCTTTCTGAAACACACAAAAGTGGATGCAATGTAGTATTTTGTGACGTTTTTCCGTGTTACAAAGTTTGAGTTATCATATTAAGACATCTATCATTTTCACAAACAGAAATTGCCAGAATAACTCAGCTGGTCTGCCAGCATCTGTGGAGAGAAAGCAGAGTTAATGTTTCAGGTGCAGTTACCCTTCTTCAGAACACAGGAGCTCATAGGGCGAGGAGAGAACGGGTACGGGTGGCGGTTAAGTTAGTGAGAGGTTTGGGCAAGTCAGGTGCAAGTGATTGGGAAGGCTCCAGTGGTTAATTGGAAGGGTCCAGTTTTAAAGCTAGTCAAGACTTAGAGCGAGTTGGTGACTTTTTCCAGAGGGTTCCAGATGCCAGGTATTTCAGTTTTCCAACATGTGCAATATCAGTCCTTTAGATCATTGTTAAAATGTTCCTAAAACCTTTAACTGAAGGCTAACGAAAAATCCTAAAAAGATAAATACCAAGGAGTTCAAAGGTTGTAATCAATTAAAATTTACAACATTTGCAATGTAGTGAACGATGGGGAAAATTACCAGTCAATCATTCTCGACAATTAGAAATGAGACAGTGAGAACATGCGCTATTTATGCAACCACTTTCTACAATGATTGCAAATCATTTTATGGACAGTGAAGCTACAGCAAATATGATACCCATCTTTAAAGTTTGTAAATAGGAGTATGGTAATATTTTAAAACAAAAAATAAACTCTTATTATGTTGCCTTACATTATATTGCCTTCCCCTACCACACCATCAAAATCTGAACCTCTAATGCCTCAATTATATATTTTTATGGCTTAAATTTTATAAAATGCTGAAACAATTTGATTTTTCAATGCCTTACTCACAACTCAGTTATTTATAAAATTTCTCAATTTAACATATGAAGCAAATCTCAAATTGCCACCTTGGTATTGCAGTGTTCATAACCAGGAATTCTTTGCAGCATACTTATTGAAAATAACATTTTATTTCACAAAAGCTTAAAGTATTTAGTAAAAACTTGTTTAGAAAATATATTTTAATAATCCCTACTGTAAGACAATATCAAAATATGTAATGTATCTTACCAAGCCTATTCACCACATATCGTCCAAGAAATCCAGATGCCCCAAAAACCGTGGCCACGATCCCACTAAAAGATGAACGCCCACCTTTACCACGAGGAATGAGGGGATGATGTATCTTCCTTTTCTGAATCAAAATGGACACTGCTGAGGCTAAGCCTGGTGAAACAGAACCTGAAAGACAACACAAATAGTGTGACATGATATGCAACTGACAATGTTTAAAGGAAACATTGCCAACATGCCAATTTTACATATTTGAATGGAACAAATGTTGTTTTATACATGAATTATGAATAAATGAAACAGGAGCAGATGTTGACCATTCAGCCCCTTTAGCATGCTCTGCCATTCAATGAGATTATGGATTATGGTTGATCAGCTAGTGTTTTGAATTTCACATTCCTATTTACTCCTGATAACCTTGGATACCTTTGCCTAACAAGAATCTATCTACTGACTTAAAAATATTCAATGACCCCACCTCTCTCACCTTCTAAGGCACAGCATTCCAAAGCCATACAGACAGAAAAAAAGTCTCCTCATCTCTTCTGAAAGGCAATCCCTAATGTTAAAACCACATCCCCTAGCTCTGGACTCACCTACAAGAGGAAACATCCTTTCCATGTCCGGCTTATCAAGACCTTATCAAGACACTTCAAATTAAGTCAACCCTCACTCTTCTAAACTCCAGTGAAAACAAACAACAACATGTACAACCTATCTTCACAAAATACCTGCTCATTCCATGAGTCAACCTAGCAAACCTCGTGTGTACCACTTCTAATGCACTTACATCCTTAAAAAATACAAGACCAAAACTACACAGTATGAGAGATGTGGTCTCACCTGTGCCCTTTATAACTGAAACAAAACATCTTTACTTTCATGTTCAATTCTCCTTATAATAAAACTGTCGCTACCTGCACCTGATGCAAGAACAAGAACAGGGTGAACAAATATTAAAAACATTTTTTTGATCAGTCATATTGGAAAACAGTTCAACTTTCGTAGAGGTCTTAACATTGGGTTTGTGTCAAATTACGTATCAAATATCCAAACAATATTTTGTGTAATGATGCAGAAACCCAAAATGTTTCATCCAACTTACAAGTAACCTTTGAGAATGAAGGAAACCACCGGAATAATGTAGAATGCAAAACATCACTGTAATGAAACCTGCTTGATTCAATATGAAATTCTTTTTAACATGATTTTTTTCTTCAGGAAACTTTAAATTTTGAGATAAAATATTTCAGAACATAAGTTAATAACAATACAAAACTCAACACAATTAATTTGTGTACTGATTTTAACAGGTTTGACTGATCCATTAATAGAAATTGCTGACCTGACTCTTAACACATTCCTTCTAATTTCTAATCCCACATGCCTCTCAGGATTCACCTCAGATTTGTTCTTTCCTGAACCTCTCTCCATCTCCAACAGTTGTCTTTGAACATATTAATCATTAGAAATCCACAATCACCCACATTTGCATGATTTATCTGCATTATATCTAATCTGATAGCAACCTTTCATGTCAAAGATGGTAAATACCCTCATCTAATGACAAGACTCAATCAGCTCAGTCCTATATGGCACATTTCATATCTCCACTGATTATGAAGACAAAACAAAGGTGCATACTTTTTTTTGCCATGAAGCACGACCTCAAGCTCCCCACTAACATCACCAAACATTCCCTCAACTATGACAAATACACCATGATTTGAACTCTAACTATTGTTTCTATTGGAGTGACTGACACACTTTCACCAGTGAATTATGTCACACTTGACTGTTGTTTTACTCTCTGCATGGAACAAATCAAGTACACACTGCAAGATCACTTTAGACTACTCTGTCTCACTACTCCAATCAGATAATAAAAAGAAACAGCCAAAGACAATATTATTACTAAAGTTTTTGAGAAGATTTGTAGCTCGGGTTGTAGATGAGTTTGGAGACTTGCTCGCTGAGCCAGTGTGTTTGATTGCAGATGTTTCATCACTCTGCTAGGTAACATCGTCAGTGCATCTCCAGTCAAGTATTGGTGTTCTGTCCAACTTGTTATTTATATGCCTCGGTTTGCTGGGTTGGTTGGCATCACTTCCGGTTCTGTTTTTTTTCCCCACTGAAAAACCTGACTGAGGCATATAAATAACAAGCATACTGACAATGTTACCTAGCAATGTGACGAAACGTCTGCAAACACACCGGCTCATTGAGCAAGTCTACAACCTCGCAACATTATTATAAATCATGTTGGTAGCACAGTAACATGAGAGGGGCTTCTATTTCAAGATTTACCTTAGAATTTAACTAAGAAACATTTCAAAGTGCTACACAACGAACATGTTGAAGTCATTTTTCACACAGCAAGACCTCACAAACCAATTGATCTGGATGCCTTTGGTTTAGGCCAGGGCACAGGAAGAATTCATTGCAAAACTGAAATCTACACATTAATCCAAAACCTACAGTGACAACTGAGCTGTCAGTGCTTCACGACCTCAACTAAGACTCGTACCCAAAAGCAGCAAATTACTACAAATGCTGGAATCTAAATTGAGAACAAAAAAAAATGCTGAAGATCACAGCGGGTCAGGCAGCATCCATGGAGAGAAAACAAGCTAACATTTCGACTCTAGATGACACTTCATCATCTAGATTTGAAACACGAGCTTGCTTTCTCTCCATGGATGCTGCCTGACCCGCTGTGATCTCCAGCACTTTTGTTCTCATACCCAAAATGTTCGGAACCATAAGTAACAGTGCTACTCAAACAGACAAGAAAGAGCCAATTTATATTATCACATTGCAGTATTTTGCTACTCTTGAAATTAATTTTCTCTTTGTTCAAATTTCAACCGAGTGTTTGTTAAAAGGTCTTCAGTTAACGATGTACACCCTGTTTGTAAGTGTACAAGAGCCCACAGGGTCCAAGACCCGCGGGGAGACTAAAGCGGAAATTGCAGCGCTAATGGGGCTCAATTCCGATATCAGACGAGGACGAAAAACCGAGGAAACGAGGCCGAGGTCAAATGAATAAATCCCGGACGAAGACTGACCTGACTTTGGGAGGACACAGGCCCGAGCCCAGACTCCGCTACCCAACACGGCCGCCATCTTGTGCCAGCTGAGACCAAACCACCAATCAAGGATGGGCAGTCAGGAGGCGGGGTCACCAGCCACCAATAGGAGAGAGCATGTGCCCATTGATCAATACGATAAGAGCATCACAAACCATCGGACCAATAAGATGAGAGCATGTCCAAACGACCAATAGAACGAGTGCAGCGTAAACTCCGCTGACCAATAGGACCAATGGATTATTATGTCTGTGAATGGATTATAACACATTCAGAGAAGGTGAAAAGGTCACAATCTATATGTATATGTTTTGCAATTAGACGCTATAAATGTAACAATAATTTCTTCTTGTAGGCTTTCTAAGTGCCATATTATAATGACCTATCTCTTTTCAAATGAATCTAGATATGTTTTTTTTCTAACCAACCTGTTCAGAACTGGTATTATTTACATGTCTGGAGCAGGTGGAACTTGTACCCGGGTCTTCAAACAACTCTACTTCATTTGTTGAACAGTTCCAGCTCATTGAATACCCCATAAAAATAATTGTTGATCTTCCTGAAACTTTTCAACACAAATGTAACTGATCTACCAACACTATACATTTTAGGGGGTCAGTTTAGTTCAGTTGACTGGATGGCTGGTTTGTGATTTAGGATAATGCCAACAGCATGGGTTCAATTCCCACACTGGCTGAGGTTACCATGAAAGATTCTCCTTCTCAACTTCTGTCCTTGACTGAGATATGGTGACCCAGAGTTAAAACCACCACCAGTTGTTTCAGTTTAATGACAGAGTAGCCCTATGGTCTGGTAAGATAAGGGCAACTCTACATGTTTTAATATGGTTTCATTTCTCAGTCAATCTAAAACTTACTGAGAGTAAGAATTGTTGGCACAAAGTTGAATCAATAGTATTTATTCAGAACAAGAAAGAAATACCGGGCAATGCCCAGGAATGGACGATCATCCAAAGGATATCTGCCACAAATCAATGCACACCTTCTGAGAGCAAACCAGGCAGATATTTGAGGCATTATGTACTGGTTGTGTAACACAAAAATAACATTGTTTTGTCTGTACTTTAATTTATTTTCTTATTGCAGAAATCAGTCGAGCATGAACCGCCTTGAATGCATTCTGTGACTCCTCTCCCTTCATGACATTCCTCCATTCACCACCACACGAATGGTCCAGGACAAATTGGTGCTTTCTCTTAAGAAGTCTGTAGTCTTTGAAGCCATGGGAAATCAACTTCAGAAGGTACGATATTTAAATCTTCAGACTAGATTTAGACCTTCACAGACCTGAAGCTGATTTGCAACAGACACTTTCAGAATCCAGTTTGAATTATTACAATAGTCTTTACCTGAAGTCTTTGAAGGTAAGGTCAGAAATCTTTTGGGAGCCAGCTGCTGCTGGAGGATGTCATTTCCTACTGTGAATTAATGTGAAACTGAATTTAGTTGGCAAGAAGATGAAACGTGAAAACTCCAATGCAGGTCAGGGGAATCATTCCTCCTGTAGAAACTATTGAATCACAACAGCAAACAATGAGGAGCCTTCTCTGATATCCAATCAAGCTCATCTTTAAAGAATTCCTGCATTTTCACTTCCTGGTGGGTTGCTTGTGCAGAGTGATTGTGCTGGAGGACATTAGATGAAGGACTACTCCAGTAGCATGCTTAATGTGAAGATAATGATCACACTGAAGTTTTGCTGTAATGGTGCTGATGGATGACTAGTGATCATGAGTAAGGCTTCATTCAGTAGACTTGGTCCCCTACAAGCCACCTCCTGATCATCATGTAATAATCATATAAAATAGGTGAGCTGTGAGGGAATCTTTTTTCCACATACATGATCATGTCGGGGGGTGATAACACTCTAGGGAAAGGAGAGATGTTCAGTTGCAAGGTGCAGCACTAAACGTTTCCTTTGATTCCCTGGAGAAAAGCAGCATTGCAGGGCAGGAAATCAATCCGGTCTTGTAGTGCCACTACATGACTAGGTTTTTACCTCATGAAATTATAAAATAAAATTCCTTAGGATTAAAAGTTAGGGGTGCTCATAGATACATTTTTGATAAGCAAAGGCAGGCATATGGAGTTAGGCCACAGATCAGCCATGAACTCATTGAATAATGGAATGAGCTCGAGGGGATGAAAGGCCTACTCTTCTTCCTCTGTTCATTGGCATACATGTCCATCAATTATTCTCTGTACTTCTGGAAATCTAGTTATATGAAAGAAGCGTAGTACTCATGCCTGCTCCATTGGGAAGATGATAAATTGTTTTGCTTTCAAAATACTGAATCAGTGCTTGAGCTTAAGCGCATCAACTAACAGATGCCTACAATGCCACCTATGGCGCCCATAGTAGCTCCCCAGGCATAGAAATTTGTGACCGTGTTGCCCTATTTGGTGTTTCTTGGTGTCATGCAATGTGACCGGAGTTTATCCAACAGAAGATTAGGATATGAGCTATCCCTGAACAGGAACCAGTTGCTCCACTATGTATTGGAAGTAAAATGCTCCATAATGGATATATTTTGCCCACCTGTCCTTCTCTTCTTGGGATACCTCATGTACCTGCACATCCTGCTCATCATTTTCCTCCTCCTCTTCCTCATATGGAAAATAACATATGAATAAGGATGTAGTAAAATGGCTTCTCATTCTATTGCTCTGGATGCTGCCCCTCCCCATTAAAACTTGGGCAAGCTCTTGAATCCCCTGGCAGAAGCAGTTTTTGTTTAAGCAAAACAAACAGATCAAAACAAAACCTTCTGTGTGACTCCGTAAAAGCAGGCTATATTATAGTATTTCAAACTTTCCAGAGCTTTACATCCAATTTAAATGACTGGTGGAAGTGCAAAGAAGAAAATCTCATCAGTCAGGTTGGTAACACTGATGAAGCATGCCATTTAAACAGGGACATCTGTTCTGATATGTAGCATTTCCAGCAACTTGAACAGGCAAACTCCAAGCCATGCAATTGGGAAGATGACCAGATAATATAGGTTATAGCTAATATTATGCCCTTAAAATGTGTGCAATAGAAAAACAAGGGCTAGGAAACCCAGTCCATTTTAAGTAAGTCTGAAAATGAAGAAAGGCGCATGCAGGAACATTTAGGAACACAGTCAAAACCTCTCATTTCAGGTAGACAATCAAAATTAATGGCACAGAATCATTTTGATAGAAATGTTGCCATAACTGAATACAAACAGCAGGGGTCAGTGCACTCACAGTATCAAGGTACAGTTGTGAAACATGAGGCTCAATTTTAATTCCCAAGAAAAAAAACTTGTGTGCAGGCATTCAGGCTTTCAGCAAAACACGCTTTTTCACCGTATAAGGACCAGATTTTGGGTCTTTTGCATAGGCATCATTGAGCAGATGTTAGACAGCAGGAGACCACCACCAGGGACACAAAGGAAGGACACCCTGCACTTCCAGAAATGATCAGGAAAATGTCCTGCTTGAAGAAGGGGAGGGAAATCCAGAAAAATTGAGGCCCAAGTTTTCCTTCTGGGGCCTGGAAGAACATACCCGCTCCACAGAACCTTTATAAAACTAAAGTCAAACTACCTTACTGGGCTTCTTCCAGCCCCACGTCTTGTGTTGCTAATAAAGCCACACAAGCCTCCAGTTAAGATGGTACACAGGCCCACTCAGCACATTTAAAGAAGAAAGCTGCAGCTTTTTAATGGCTATGTCCTTTGCATTTTCAGAAAAGTAGTTTCAGATTGCAATCTATTGGAAGGGATCGGTGCATATAAGTTGTAGCAACCATTTCAGTCACTGGTTTGGTTAGTATCCACTAGATAGGCAGGGTAAAATGGTCCCTTTTTTGACTATTCATAAAACATTGATAACATTCCAATCCTCAGGTTTTCAGTACATGTCAACATTTCATTATAAAAATAAACTATTTTCACTGCAGTCCAGGTGGAAATGAGAGGGAGATTTAGAAATGGTATGATCTAGTGGGTCTCAGATATGAGGGTGTAGGCTGTGGATATTGTCAAAGGGTGGAAACACATTGACTAACTGTAAATTGTGTGCTGTTCAAACAAAATAGACTGTATCTGAAAATACAAATTCACCCCATTGATTTATGTGTGTATATGTGTTGGGGGGGCGCATGGGTGGGAGAGAAAGAGTGTGTGTGTGTGCGTGAGAGAGAGAGAGAGGGTGGAGTTGGAGAGACAGAGAGAGGAAGAGTGTATGTGGGGGGGCGAGAGAGAGAGAGTGTGTGTGTGTGAGGAAAAGAGAGAGAGTGTGTGTGAAGGAGAGATAGACTGTGTGTCTGTGTGTGTGGGAGAGAAACAGACTGTGTGTGTATATGTATATGTGTGTGTGGGGGCAGGGGAGAGATAGAGAGTGTGTGTGTGTGTGTTTTGTGGGGGGTAGAGAAAGTGTGTGTATGTGCTTGAGAGATAGTGTATGTATGAGAGAGGATCTGTGTGAGAGTGTGTGCATATGTATGTGTGTGTGTTTGTTTGAGTGAGAAAGGATCTGTGTGAGAGTGTGTGCATGTGTATGTGTGTGTGTTTGTATGAGAGAGAGGATCTGTGTGAGAGTGTGTGCATGTGTATGCGTGAGTGTGTTTGTGTGAGTGAGTGTGTATATATGCATCTGTGTGAGGTGTTGAACGACACCCTCAAAGGAACAGGATACGATGCTGAACTCATCAATCCAGTTCCCACAGTGCAGAACTGTAATGACCTCCTCAAAAGACAGACACAGGATACGTCTGATAGGGTACCCTTCATCATACACTACTCCCCAGGAGCAGAGAAAGTACGTCATGTTCTTAGCAGCCTTCAACACATTGTCGATGATGATGAGCACCTCGCCAAGATATTCCCAATGCCTCCACTTCTCACCTTCAAACAACCAACAAACCATAAACAGACCATTGTTCGCAGCAAACTACCCAGCCTTCAGGACAACATCGACCACAACACCACACAACCCTGCCATGGCAACCTTTGCAAGATATGTCAGATCTTCGACATGGACACCACCATCACACAGGGAACACCACCCACCACGTGCATGGCAGATACTCATATGACTCGGCCAACGTCTCTCTCATACGCTGCAGACAAGGATGTCTTGAGGCATGGTATATTGGCGAAACCATGCAGACACTATGACAACGGATGAATGGAGACAGTTCAACAATTGCCTGACAGGGATGTTCCCTCCCAGTGGCAAGGTCTGAAATCACATGACACCAGGTTATAGTCCAACAGGCTTATGTGAAAACACAAGCTTTCCCAGCCTCAGTCCTTCTTCATGGTGTTGGGGGAACACTTCAGCGGTAAAGGACATTCGGCCTCAGATCTTCAGGTAAACGTCCTCCAAGATGGACTTTGGGATACACAACAATGAAGAATTGCCGAGCAGAGGCTGATAGCCAAGTTCGGTACCCATGATGATGGCCTCAAACAGGATCTTGGGTTGATGTTGCCCTACAGGTGACCCCACCATATTATAGACTGTCACACATGCACTCACACACACACACATACATACATACATACTCACTCATACAAACACACTCACACACATACTCACTCACACAGATCCTCTCCCATACTACCTCTCAAGTGCAAACATACACACACAAACACACACACACACGTAAATCAATGGGGTGAATTTGTATTTGCAGATACAATCTATTTTGTTCGAATAGCACACAATTTACAGATAGTCAATGTAGTGTTTTATAAATTCCTACTTTAGAAATAAAACCAGTCCGACTCCAAACCAAAACACAAACAGGTTCTAAACAAAGCCTCACAACCAACATGCATTGTCTGAACTAAAATGTCACCCCTTCTTTACACTGATAAAACCTTTTGTTCTCTTAGGACTGTGACTTGAAAGGAATTTGGAGATTTACATATACATATTAATCAATGAAAATCTCCTAACTGATTAAAGATTTAACAGCATTTAACAGTCCAATACATTCTCATCAGGAGTGTGACCCTTTGATCTTTTACTTATAAATTCTGTGTCTGATACTACCTCCCTCACTAACACCAGAAGAAGGAGTGAGGCTTCAAAAGCTTGTGTTTTCAAATAAACCTGTCGGACCATAAACAGAAGTAGCCAGTTCTGAGGAAGGGTCACCGGACCTGAAATGTTAACTCTGATTTTTTTCTTCTCTAGATGCTGCCAGACCTGCTTAGCTTTTCCAGCTACTTCTGTCTTTGTTCCTGATTTACAGCATCCGCAGTTCTTTCGGTTTTTATTCTGTTGCACGATAATCTGGTATTGTGTGATTTCTGACCTCATCCACCCCAGTCCAACACCGGCACCCCGCATCATGGCACTGAAGGGTCTGCCTTGACTTTATATTCTCAAGCCCTGGGGAGGGACTTGAACCTTACACCTACAGAAATGACAGTGCACCCAACTGAGCCACAGCTGACATCCATGTAACATTTCCCCTTATGTAACCACAGCCTCCCCCGCAGTCCCACCTCTTTCTTTGGTTTCCTGTCTTGCTCACTCACCATAGGTTTCCCTTCTTTACCTGTTCGCTGGTGGCCTCCTGCTTTTCTGATCTTACTGCATAACATCAGCTGGTTCAAAACATGGAGCAAAGGACTTCAACTACAGGGAACTCAAGATTTTTTTAAATGCAAAAAATGTCAATATTGCATTATCATGAGAGTTAACCTCCAGAATTATATCACAGCAAAGCTGACAATTCTAATCAGACCTGCGACTGCACCCCAGTTTTAATTTTTAAAAATCACAGAATTCCACCTCTAATATCTGTACAAAGCCTTGACAAGGTCTAGAACTGTGTCACGGCTGTTAATAGTTTGACCGTCAAATAGCTGGACAGGATAATGCAGCTCTGATGCTGCTGTTATAAGGAATTAGGATTTTGTTCAAGCTCCTGATGTTGTTTTTAAACAAGAGAGCATTAGAGCTGAAGAAAATTCGGTGTGAGGTTACTATGCAGCAAAGACATAGAAAGATCATCACAATTTCAAATGTTAACTGTTTCCCTCCACAGCTGCCATCTGACCTGCCAAGCATTCCAGTATTTTATGTCTTTATTCAAGGCTTAAAAGTGGTGTTTTGTATGTTTTATTTGTCTGTGCTAAACATTTCTAAACATAGCTTTAGTGTGTTTTCGGAATCAGGGTATTACATAGAGAAGCAAATATGCTCTTAAAGGATTGGGAGATATCACTTCAACATAACTAGATGAAAAAAAAGATTTGAAGAAGGATTTTCATCCAAAGATTTTTTTTCATTCATTCACAGGATGAAGGCATCCCTAGTTGAGCAGAGTTAAGAGTCAACCACATTGCTGTGGGTCTGGAGTCACATGTAGGCCAGACAGGGTAAAAATGGCAGTTTTCTTCCCCAAACAACATTAGTGAATCAGGTGTTTGTCCTGAGAATTGACTTTGGATTCACAGTCATCATCCCTAATTCTGGGTCCCCAGAACATTACCTGTGTCTCTGGATTAACAGTCCACTGATAATATCACTAGGCCATCGCCTCCCCATACCTTCCCATACATAAGTGCTAAATGCTAAATTGATTACAGCTTTAAAAGTGATACCTGATAACTACAGAAGGAAAAAGAATATAAAAGATCTGAAAAAATGAGGTTATTTCAGATTAAAAGCAAAAACATTGAACATGTTAAAACTGCCCCCCTCCCCAACCTCCACCCAACCAACCACCCAGAGCATGAATTCAGTACAACAAGGACTGAATAAATTCCTACAGCATTAAAAATTCCATGACCCAAAATCCAGCCTTCTGGTGAGTTCCTGGCATAAAGCTGAAGTCCTTTTTTAGCACTTTGAATTCTTCCATGGAATCTGAGCATCTGAATTTGTTGCTCATTCCTAATTTCCCTTGAGATGTTGGTGACGTGCTGCCTTCTTAAACCACTGTAGTCCATCTGGTACATGAACATCCATAGTGCTATTAGGGGGAAGAGTTCCAGGATTTTCACCCAGTGACAAAACAAATAAAAGATCCAAGTCAAGAGTGGCTTTGAGTAGAAGTTGTGTTATGGTGTTCTTGTGATTTGCTGCTTTGATTTTCCAAGGTAAAGGTAGAGGTGGAAGGCTTGGTTGATTGCTGCAGTGTATCTTGCATATGATACACACTGCTGTACTGTGTGCCGGTATAATGGGGCAGAGCCTTTACGCACCCCTTACTTGGTCAGTGACACAGTGCAACAAGCTATTAGGAAAGCTGATGGCATATTAGTCTTTATTGCAGAAGGATTTAAGTGCAGGAGTAGTGAAGTCTTGCTTCAAATGAGTAGAAGCTTGGTTAGACCACACCTGGAGTACTGTACGCGGTTTTGGTCTACTTATCTGAGAAAAGATATTATTGGTATAGAGGGAATGCAACAAACGTTCACCAGATTTGTTCTCGGGATAGTGGGACTATCCTATGAAAAGACTGTGGGCAAACTGGGCTTCTAATCTCAAGACTCAAGAGTGAGGTGATCCCATTGAAACTTACAAAATACTTCAAGGAATAGACAGGGTTGACGTAGGTCAGATATTTTCCTGATTGTGGAATCTAGAAGCAGGGGACACATTTTAAAAATAAAGGGAATGCCACTTAGGTCTGACATGATGAGAATTTTTTCTCCCTCTGGAGGGTTGTGAACCTTTGGAATTCTCTACCCTAGAGAGCTGTTGAAGCTTAGTCTATGAGTATGTTTAAGATAGGGATTAATAGGTTTCTGATTACCTGTGACAACAGGGTTAAGGAAATGGAGTGGATAATAGACATTGAAGTGTTTGATCAGCCTTGATAATACTGAATGGTGGGGTAGGCTTGATGGCCTGAACAACATGTTCAAATGTTCCTATGTCTTGTGACCCTTCACCTGGTGTATGTGGGGATTATCCAGGGCACAGGTAAGGGAATTGAGAGGAGACCACATGCTGCTTCTTAAACTCTGAAGTATTCCAGGAAATACAGGTGTCTAAGATGGCATCCCCTAATATTAAATAGGACTGCTATCGACCTGCACTGGTGCCCTTTCACTGGCACTGCATATTCCAGGGGGACTGGTAGTGGATCTCTGTAACAAATGTAGTCTCAACATAATTGCTGAGATAACATTCCTGAGGATATTTTTGGCCCTAGATTTTAATATTTGTTAATACTTTGAAGACTTATAGAGGATGTAATGTTTATACAAATTTGATGAATTTGTTTACAGTATCACATGTTAGTTCAAAATATGATTGCAAACAAAATAATATTAAAAATTTAAGAGATGATAAATTGGGACTCCTGTTGTTTGGGTCATTGGATTTTATTATTCAGAAAGGTATAAATCAGTGGGTGAAAAGATCAAGGCAGAAGCTATTGCATAGATACATTAGTTTGGTATTCAATATGTAGAACCTACAGTCATTTACACTTTCTGATTGATGTCCAAATGATGCATCAATCGCCATTATAGATAACTGTAAAATTAAAACAGCTTTCCTATGTGGCAGTTTTCTCTGATAAAGGAGCAGCTTTACCGGAAGAACCACGATGAGGAGATCCAACAGGACTACAAGCATAATCTATACAACAGGTGACAGAAATTAGTTGTTCTCTTGACACTTTATTTCTTTAGGTGATTCAGATTGAAAACTGTACAATAAGTTGTCCAATGATTTGTTTTTCGGACCTTTCTCAGCAGGCACTTCACAATTGTCATTTGGATTTTCTGTTATATCTTCTTCTGCAGAAGCCCCTTGAGGCCGTGGACATGCTGTGAGTGCTGTCTGCTCTTCTAAATGAAGGCTGCGCTTATTGCTCATTTCATGAGAGATTTTGCCTGTTGTAAAATATAAAGTGTAATCTGAAAAATTGGCAAACGATTAGAATATGTTAAATTTAAGAAGTCAGCTTTGATGTGATGAGGAGATAGTCATCACAAATCTACATGATGGGTAAAGATTTTCAACTGGTCAAGCAGATTGATGGCTCACCTACAATAGAACCATTCACCTCTTCATTCTATTGGAATGAAAATTGGGTGGTTTCTATAACGTACAGGCAACCATGCAGCCAGATTACTAGCTGGACTTTAAAAATGTTGGGTTGATTTCATCTTCAAAGGTCCTATTCATTTAAATTTTGCAAGTTGTAAATATCATTGGATAGCTCTCTACCTCTTTTATTGGAATCTTTTGCCTTTATTAGTCAGTGCATTGAGTATAGCAGTTGGGAGGTCATGTTGCAGCTGTACAGGACATTGGTTTGGCCACTTTTGGAGCATTGCATGCAATTCTGGCCTCCCTCCCTATAGGAAGGATGTTGTGAAACTAGAAAGGGTTCAGAAAATATTTATAAGGATGTTGCCAGGGTTGGAGGTTTTCAGCTATAGGGAGAGTTTGAATAGGTTGGGGTTTGTTTCCCTGGGGCGTCAGAGGCTGAGGTGTGACCTTATAGAGGTTTATAAAATCATGAGGGGCATAGGTAGGGTAGATAGTCAAGGTCTTTTCCCTGGGGTAATCCCTGGGGGCATCCAAAACTAGAGGGCATAGGTTTAAGGTGAGAGGGAAAAGATATAAAAGGGACCTAAGGGGCAACATTTTCACACAGAGGGCGGTGTGTGTATGGAATGAGCTGCCAGAGGAAGTGGTGAAGGTTGGTCTGCTTACAGCATTTAAAAGACATCTGGAATGGGTATATAAATCGGAAGGGTTTGGAGGCATATTGGCCAAATGCTGGCAAATGGGACTAGTTTTATATAGGAAATCTGGTCAGCATGGACATTGGACCAAAGGGTCTGTTTCCATGCCGTATATCTCTATGACTCTAACTTACACATTCATGCAATGGTACACTCCCACAATGCAACTAGTGAATTTACTCTATACTTTCTTATGGAAACAGTATTTGTCAACAAAGTACGGTGAAGGGTTTTTTTGGCAGCACTAGATATAATATCACATTACTGGCATATTATTGGATTGGGATGACACTGCACCATCCAGATGTACTCTAATAACCAACAATGCCTGATTAATGACTATAAAATGTAGGACAACCATTGTCCAGGTCTGTTCAGCTAGCAGTTCCTAAACCTTTCGGATTTAGCTTCATCCAGCTGTGATCCATAAGTGTTACGTTCTCTCAAAAAGGGTACTTTATCACATGGGAGGGACAAGATTTCCTTCCATTCTGGTGGAATTGGCTTAGAGTAGGTTAACCTGTCCTTAAGCATGTTCCACAATTCAATTAGATAATAGTTCATTTGACCCTTAACTTCATATATCTGCCTTGGTTCTGTAACTCTTAAGAGGCTTCCCCTAGCAAAGAAATCTGTCAATTAAAATATTGAAAAATTCAGTTATTGTCAAGCTTTTTGTGGGAGAGTCCAGCTTCCACACCCTTTTGAGGAAGAAATGCTTCCTGACATCACCCTTGAATGGCTTAGCTTTTATTCTGAGGTAATGATCTCTGTTCTGGGCTCTGAACAAGAGTAAACGGTTTCTCTTTATCTGCCCTACCAACTCTAAAACACCTTTAGATCATCCTTTAATCTTCCTTAAAGGCTTTTCCAATCCCACAAGTCCGCTGGTCTATATGAATAGGACTCCTTCATGTGAAAATGTTATGTGTTTCTATTTGTGTTATCAATTTTTTTGTATTTAAATATTATTTAATAGCTGCTAATTTCATGATCTACACATTATTAGGAATAATAGTTACATATTTCCCACTGGGGACCTGTGGGATTGATGAATCCTTGGACTGAATTTTCCTGGCCTATTGGAGACAGGCTGGGAAAAGGTTTTGGTAACAACAACTGCTACCACCTCCTGTTCGTCTAGTGACTCTGGAATTGCTGTCGCTCCATACAAAAGGAGCAACTGTCTGGATGCAGACTCAGTGGCTGTGTAGTTCAGTGATGCATCTCCTCCAGGTTATCCAGGGACAGCAAGATGTCCTACTTCCCAGGAGAGCAGCAGGGGCCCTTCTTCCTGTCTTGTGCACACTCGATCAATAGGGAACTTTATATGTAGCAGTGGCTACAACCTGAAATAAAAACAGAAAATGCTGCACAAACTCATAGGCCTGGCAGCATCTGTGGAGAGAGAAACAGTCAAAGTTTCAAGTCCAGTATGACTCTTCTACACCACCCAATATCAATTGTCAATGCTTTGTCACCAACAGTTGAATAAAGGTTCTGATAGAAGAAAAGGCAACTGCTACTCACTCTAAATCCACATGGAAGACAACCTTACTTGCTGTACACAATACGTAATCAGTCTTGAATCTGAAGGCATGTTATTTCTCATCACTGATTACTTGAAAGGTACACTTAATTCAGGCAAGATGGCCTTTTAATTAGCATGCACAGCATGAAAATATATTTTAAAAAACAGGTTCCTGATGCTTGTTGTCAAGAAGTTCGATCTGCTGATGATTTGTCATCAACTTCATCCCCTTCTTTCATCAGAAAGCTGACTTTTGGCCTCCTTAACAATTTAGTGTCCCCACCTGTCTCACTTCACACTTGTGGGGATTTCCCAAGATTATACCAATCAGAGTGGGTACCCAGTATATTCCCATTGCCATATTACAAGTAGTGGGACCTCTTATTAATATACCGTCCTGGGTCCTGCTATTCACCAAAGCTTCTTTGCCTCCTGTCACCATTGTGGCATGACTTTCAGGTGAATGTTAAAATTCAGCCATTATCTCTTCTGGAAGTTTTTCTTAAATTCATTCATGGAATGAGGGTATTGCTGACCAGGCAGCATTTATTGCCCATCCCTAATTGCCCAGAGAATCATAGAATCCCTATAGTGTGGAAACAAGCCATTTGGCCCAATAAGTCCACACCGCCACACCAAACAGCATCCTACCCAGGCCAATTCCCCTACCTTTCCCATGTCTAACCCACCTAACCTAAACATCCCTGGGCACTATAGGCAATTTAGCATGGCCAATCCACCTATCCTGCACATCTTTGGACTGTGGGAGGAAACCCACGCAGGCACAGGGAGAATGTGCAAACTCCACACAGACAGTCACCTAAGGGTGGAATTGAACCCAGGTCCCTGGCACTGTGAGGCAGCAGTGCTAACCACTGAGCCACCGTGCCTCTGAACTGAGGGCAATTCAGAGTCAACCACATTGCTGTGGGTCTACAGTGACACATAGACCAGACCAGGTAAGGATCCCTAAAGGACATTAGTGAACCAGATGGGTTTTTTCTGTCAATTGATTTCATGGTCTTCATTAGATTCTTAATTCCAGATATTTTATTGAACTCAAATTTCACCGTCTGCCATGGTAGGATTTGAACGTGGGTCCTCAGAGTGTTATCTGGGTCTCTGGATAAACAGTCCAGCAATAATACCACTAAGCCATTGCATCCTCAAAAGTTGATGTGATTTTGCCTCCAGGAAGTATTTTACTGGATGCAGCAATATTTTTTTTATCTCAATAGCACAAAAAACTGGATGTGAATATTGTGGTATTGAAGAATCCAATAGATGCTTATTACAGTTAACTATCATGCACAAACATTACATTCAAAGGCACATAAGTCTGGGCTAACATTTAGGTATTAGACTATACAGGACAGCATACTTCCAGTAGTGTCATGCTTCAAGTGATTCCAGAATAAGATGGCATATAAGAAATTTATACTTTTTAGGTCATCGGCTGTGATATAGTGATGATTTAATGAGCGTCTCCCTTTAAAATATACTGACCATGAGACGTAACTCAACAAAAAGTTATATTTATCAGTCTATTTACCAGGCCACCCACATAACACCCAGAAAAACGAATGACATCAGAATCAAAGTCCAAGCATAGAGTATTGATACTCAGTAGTAACTTTAATTTTATGCAAGGCCCATGTGATGTAATCATTTCCATGACCTCCTTAGGGAATTGTATAGTCCAAAAAGCAGAGTGGTTCAATTTCTGCAAGGATTTGAGATTTAAAGGACATAGTTAGAAATTAACAAAGAGAAAAATTATAATAAGTTTCAGGAAACACATCATTTTTTCAAAGAGTGATAATGTTTTGAATAATTCACAAAGCAAGGTGGTACAGGATAATCAGAATATACATTATGTGAGCTAATATCGAGCTTTGCCAAATAGGGCGGCACAGTGGTTAGCATTGCTGCCTCACAGCGCCAGGGACTCAGGTTTGATTCCAGCCTCAGACAAATATCTGTGTGGAGTTTGCACATTCTCCCCATGTCTGCGTGGGTTTCCTCCAGGTGCTCCGGACTGTGAGTGTTTCCACACTCCAAAGATGCACAGGTTAAGTGGATTGGCCATACTAAATTGCCCTTAGTGTCCAGGGATGTGTAGACTAGATGAATTAGCCTTGGGAAATGTGGGGTTAGGGTGGGTCTGGGTGTGATGCTCTTCAGAGGGGCATTGTGGACTTGATCGGCTGAATAGCCTGCTTCCTCACTGCAGGGATTCTATGAGTGCAGGCAGGAATTCAGATGCAGAAGTCATTAAAAACAATAAATGGGAAATCCTGAGAGCTGGGGAGGGTTGCTGACCTTGCCATCTGAATTCCAGTTATGCATTTCCGTCAATCAGGTTCCAACTTAGCGGTACAATCTCAAAAAATAGGCTTTTTCCTATCCCTGACATCTATAACAAGCTTATTACCTGCCTTTGAGAGCTGTGCTTTTTTACTCGCTTGTTTATTGTTATTTTCAGTCGCAGGCATCACTTTCATTCTGAGACGTGATTTCTGTGTTCTGGATTCCTGAATCCATCTGTGTTTCATTGCTTCATCAGGAGTCAGGCGGTGTTCAGGATTCCACCTTAAAAAAGTATTCAAAATCATAAAGCTTACCTTTGAGTTACCATCAGCATCTTCAGTACTAATTGTAATATCAATTCCAACCACACAGTCATTACCAATAGCACTTTTGCAGTAGCCACACTATTATTAGGCACCGTCAGTTGGATCAATGCTGTAAGCAAGTTCAGTACCATATGTATTGTCTGTGCTATCAGTAACATCAGTGCAACTAGCATATTAGAACATTACTAATTATCTATTAGGACTACTCTAATCCTACCATCATCAGTACTCCCAATAATATGAACACCTGCTACATCAAATATACCTCAGTACCAACAGCGTTATTAGCATAATCAGTTACTATCAAATAATCAACACTATCACTATCATTGGCACTGTCAGCACCAAAAATACAATCTGCACTTTTAGCACCATAAGCAAAAACAAAATGTAATCAGCATCACCAATACTATCAGTATCATTAATAAAGGAAACTCTGTAGATATCTCTGCAATCATCTATACCAAAGTATCCATTTCCTGTGATTGTAGGCTGAAGATTAGAAGTCAGCACTACCAATGAGCCAGAACACATCAGCACTTCACCTAAATTTCATCCTTCTCAGTGTTCAAGCATCAACACAAATACTCACATCCCAGAGAATGCAGTGAGTGAATTTGAGAAGTTAAACCTTGGTAAGTAACAGTGCAAGGTGAGAAGAAACATGTGGTTTTACCTGAGGAGGAGCAGATACAAGACAGTAATGTAAATTTCATCAAAGAATCACAATTACTTTACAGCGTGCATTTCTGTGCTGTTGGCTTTCCATTAAATACAAGGTAAAAAATAAATCCAGTTCTGAAAAAGTGTCATACAGGACTCAAAATACACTTTGTTTTGCTCTCCACATATGCTGCCAGACCTGGTGAGTTTTCCCAGCATTATCTGTGTTACAAAATCATTTCCTCAGTTTAACTTGAAATGAGCCTTTTTTCATAAAGGTTCATAATGTATTCACTTGTACTGTTACAGCTTGGACCATTCCTTGTAGATATAGTTTACAGATCAGGTTGGAGGGTATAGTACATCCCTGGCTTAGCTGGCAAATGGAATTTTTTTCCTGACATGTCATAGTAAGTCAGAAAGGGTTTTGATTGACACAGAAGGACAGCTGACAGCGACTCCCTTAGGTACATGCAGACAAACCTCTGATCATTATTCTACAATTCTTCTTCATTCTCAAACTCCCTGAAAGCTTAAGGCATTTTTAACCCAATTCTGATATATTTTTCACTATTGCCAAAGACGAAGTTAAATCCCATAATTCACAGCCTGCCATCATGACCTTGAGGACTGCACAAAAGTTAGATAAATTTGCTATCCTCAAGTTTGCTATAGGATCAGCCTGTTGCCCCACAGGGATTCAAAATACAGTTATCTTGTCAGCATTTTATTTAGACCGCATTATTTAGCCCATTTTCAAATAATGCTCAGATCCTGTGAGAGGGATTTATTGCAGGAACCAAGTGTCAAAACAGACTAAATTCTTTTGGAAACAAATAATAGCAAGTAAAATTAGTATTTATAAATGATCTCCATAGAGATAGTGATTGTCCCCATATACTTTAGGCACTAAAGAGTTTCCAAAAAGGCCAAGATGAGGTTTAAAATGGCAATACTGAGTTAATGCACATTTAGCACAATAAATTATCTTGGTAAAGGAATTGAAGTGTGTATAAAGAACAACCACCTGGTAATTATTAAATGGTTGGTTGACAATCAAAAGCTCTGTTGGCCCTCATTAAAGATGTGTTTTGGTACTTTAGTGGGCAGTATTGCCATTAACAGCTCCTCCTAATAATGACCAGCTGCAACCCCAGATTGCGGTGATTCACAGTTTCCCAGCCCAACTGTTTATTTTGCAGCGCTGTCGAGTCTATGGATCATGTACATATTGACTGTGGGTGATTGCACTCCATTTTTAGTTATTTGAGAAATCTTTCGTTACGCTTTTGGTCGCACATCAGCCTCACACTCCTGATCGTTAGGAATCCAGTGCAGAGGGCTAAGGACAAGTCTCAGGCCTGCCTCGGAGGTCCGCTCCTGGGCCTGGACAAATTGGCTATAAGTAGGTCCATGTTGAAAGTTGCGGAGAGGTTCATTAACTCTGACTGCCTACTCCTCTTCTGCAGCTACATTCGTGCCCAGATGTCCTTGAAGAAGGAGCATGTGGTGTCCACAAGTACTCTCAATGCCTTTAGAAAGAGCTGGGCACTGCAAGGGATACAGTACTTTATCCTCCAACTCCATTTTGATTTAGCCCTCCCCCTCTCCCTATCTCTCCCTCACTTTTGATGGCTTGTATTGCCCTTAGTGGGCTTTACACATAAATATCTAATTGACTAAAAGACCATTCAGTTGTGTGTAAGTGGACTTCCTAATATAAAAATAAGATGAACAAATAATGACCAGCTGAACAGGAGTAAACAGGTCAGGACTTAAAGTGCAAAATACTTTGTTTAGCAGAGGCTCTCATTTTGAATCCACAAACTAACTGAAATTTTTAAATTAATATCTATTTCAAATAAAATCCAAATAACTAATGGATTGTGATAATTGTAATGCAGATATTGTATTTACTTCAGAGGCTAATGTAAGGAACATAAAATCATTAATAAAAACCAAAAGAACTGCGGATGCTGTAAATCAAGAACAAAAACAAAGTTGCTGGAAAAGCTCAGCAGGTCTAGCAGCATCTGTGGAGGAGAAAACAGAGTTAATGTTTTGGGTCCGGTGACCCTTCCTCAGAAATGAGGATTCAGAACTCAGAACTTCCTCAAAAATCATTTATACCTATTGGGCATAAAAACACAATGTGAGTTTCAAGATGGATCAAGTTCCACAATATGAGCATATATTAGTAAATTTACCCTCCCGTATTCATTGAACAGATGATAAATATCACTAAGACAATATTATTGCTAGATGCATGTTAAAATGCTAAACTCACATGAGACATCCTTTCAGGAAGTCTAGGAAGAGGTTATCATTTGTTTTTAATACACTGGCAAGTTCCTTGGAATTTGGACGCCTCTTCTTTCCTTTACTGTTTATGACACTTTTAGGGAATCCTTTAGAATCTTCAACAGAAAAATAATTGTCAACTAAAATAATACATTAGAAATTTTAAAATAAATCATAAATTAAGAGTATTGTTAAAGAGCAGTCAGAAACAACCCTGCAGTCTTTGTAGCCTTACATTTTATAATTTGCAGTATATGAAAACATAGAAATAGCAAACGAAATATCAAGTTGAACCCCAAGTTACTATTCAGTTAGAAAAACACAAGTGCAAACTTCGGGAAAAGATTCTTTAAAAGTTGAAGAAATTTTACAGCACAGCAGAAAATTCACCATTAGCTTATTTTCCAAAATTCAACAGAGTATCATAAACTCCACCTTCCATTACAATGTTATCTGGAAGTCACTATAACAGAGGAAACATACCCTTATATTATCTACTCTTTTAAATTTATTCTGTCTCACTGAAATTGCGGGAAGGGAGGAAGACTAGAAGTTTGCTCCTATTCCAGAAAGCCAGCCGGATGTGAGCTCTTAATGCACATTAGTTATGTGCTGAACCAGCAATCGAGCAAACTGCGTCATCAAACTGGTTGAGCAGCACGTATCCACCGTCAGAAATAACAACAATCATTTCCCAGCAGAAATTGTGTCAAAGGGAAAAAATGGCCACCTTATGTTTCCTGAGGACTCCTGGGAGAAAAGTTCATTTTCTCATTCAACATTTGGATTTTCTGAACTGCAGGATTAACTTTTGTCTTTAAATTTTCTACTGTTGATTCAGCAGCTTTTCTCCTGGAACTAGTTATCCCAGTTACCAAGGCTTTTCCTTTGGGAAGAAATTATTATGAAGAACCCAGAGGTCAAGAGCCCAGTACTTAGTTATTTGAAGGAAGGAAAAGGAGGATGCAGAATGCAGTCATTTGGCCCTTGCAACAGACATTTTTTAGCAAGCTGAAATGGAATGTCTTCTGATCCAACATCTAGCCACAGTATTAATAGTCCTGTCCTTGTCTTCCTCCATGCATACATACATAATAAACACACTCCCAAGGTACATGACTCCTATTCTTACCACAACCAAACTATTTACACACCTAAATAAAAACAATATCTGAGGGCTCAACTGTCCTGACCAAGTTTTTTTTAAAAACTTCCACCTATGGTACCCCCATAGTGCCAGACCTCTGTTCGGTGCCTCCTAAATAAGCAGAGTGAAGTTTGTTCATCACTGCTTTCATTCATGAGGCCATTGACAGTGAGATTGCAGAAGCTGAGGAAAAGGGATCTGGATCTTCTTCAAGTGCTTGCCACTGCAAGATGTCTAATAAAGGACCAAAAGAGGAGAGGTGGATAGTTGACCAACACTATACCTATGTAACTTTCATAAAATGGAATGCCAAGCAAATTGGTCAATATTTCTGAACAACAGATACGTACACTTCAGAAGCTTAAGAAAGAACATATGATGAATATAATGACCAATCTGCAGGAGTCATGTGCCCTTCTACTTCCACATTTCTTGTACCTCTCTTGTTCATGTGTCCAGTAGTTGATCATGTTCATCAGGGTAAAACAATGCATATTGAAGAGAATTTATCTTCTGCATCATCTGTTATTCATAGATTTGTTCTTTAGTAAAAAATATAATGACATGTAATCCGATTCTGCTGTCAGAAAACAGCCATTACGGGGATGGTAAAGCGTGTAGTGAAGAAACAAATGCTTCCTTAACATAAGATTTTCAGAGTATCACATCATGTTAGAAAGTGATTGAAGGAAGAATGGACTTAAAAGGCATAAAGGGTCTTGCAATACCTGCAGTATGGTGATATTATCTAATGAGCACTTCAATATAACAAAGAGAAATTGGTTGTAAATGTGGCACATGCTATGTTGCAGCATGCTATCACAACAAAGTCATGTGTTTTTTTTAATGCAACTTGGTGTTGCTTCAGTCCTTGCTTGCATTTTAAGTAAACGCTGTTTCTCCTTTCAATTCCATACCCATGAGCCCTAAAATGTAGAGAGCCTGGGGATAAATCAGGCAATGGAATTTTCATCCTACAACGTTGGGAACTTTTTAAAATTATGCTTATGGCCCTTCATGATTTCTCCTCCCCCCTTTGGAATGTACTATCCATTAAAGGAAGAGAGACATAGAACAGGCAGCTTAGGGGGTGGGGGCTGACTTCAGGATGTCACTGCAGGTTCTCCCATTCTTGAGTAGCCTGGCACTCACTTATACAGAGCAGCTGAGCAATAGAGGAGCAAAATACTGCAGATGCTGGAATCTGTACTGAAAACAAAAATGCTGGAGATCACAGCGGGTCAGGCAGCATCCATGGAGAGAAAGCAAGCTAACATTTCGAGTCTAGCTAACTCCTCATCAGAGATGTGTCAGCTAGACTTGAGATGTTAACTTGTTTTCTCTCCAATGGATGCTGCCTTACCCGCTGTGGTCTCCAGCAGTTTTGTTTTCAACTAAGCAATAGAACAATGCTTTTTAAGATTACATGCTACTGAATAGCGTCGTGTATGTACGGCAAAGTCACACACTTTTCACTGTACTTTTACATTGAATACATGTGATGGTAAGTGATTTAATTCAATTCCTGAAGCTGTACAAATTATGCTAAGATATCTCCAGACTGAATGTCCAGATTGACAATACACTAGCATTTCACTTTATTTGCTTTTATTCTCATTTCAGCTTTTTCAACAGTATAGTAAAATCTTTATTATACGGCACGCATGGGGAATGGGTGGTGCCAGTTAATCGAAAATAGTGGTTAACAGAGAGTTAAATTTACCAATAAAATACTAAACAAGTATTTGTAGCATGAACTTTCAAAGAATATAAAATATGCATTCAAAGAAAAGAACAATATTCCTTTTACTTCTAAACTTTAATGATGTGCATTAAAACATGAATTGTAATAATGCAGTACACAAGTACCAAACAGAACTAATCCTTAGGAAGATATAGAAGGCACGGGGGATGGACCATGGTCAAAACCCCGGATGCTTTGTTGAACAGATCCCTGATGTCAAGTTGCCAATGTTCCTTCTGCATTTTCTGCGTGAAAGTAGGGTGCAGAATGTGCAATTGCATAACTTCTTGTGCAGAGTAGCAAGTTCACCTTTCAGCAAATTTAATCAATTTATCAAAAGCTGAAACAGCATTTGTCAAAGTTAATTTTTCTGAAATCTTTTTTCAGTGTTCAGCTTTTGAGAATTCATAATGTTTTCCATAATTTCTGCAACAGTATTCTTGCAGTCCCTCAGAACAAGGAGGCAGCTTGTATTGAGTCTCAGAATAAATGGTGTGGAGAGAGAGAGAAAGAAAGGGAAAGAGGAAGAGAGTGCAGCTGTAAGTGACAGGAGTTAACTAAGTGAAAGATTAAAAAAAGGTGAAAAAGCGAAAGTAAAAGACATTAAAAAGAGAGGCAAAATACGCATTGGCAATTATTCATTTGTCAGCCTGTTATCAATGAGGGGTTGTTTACCTTCTTTAGCTTTCTTATTGCTCTCTTGTATTCCACACTTCTTTCTCACTTTTGCGAAGTTTGTTGATTGTTCATGTAGAGAGAGTGTCATTCAACATTTCCATAATTTCAGGAATGTATTTGTTCTGGGTGTTACATTAACTCTTTTAACATCTTCTTGCAAACAGAAGACTGGGTAACAGTTTTCCCCAACATCACCTCAATATTGCACATTTCACTGATTTCCAGGAACAGGCCATAAATAGAGTGAAAATACTGTATAGTGCCTTCAAAACTGATCAATTTCCTCATTAAATGTCTTCAGCAGTAACATTTCACATTCTGAATGATGCCCAGCTCCATAGATTGAATTAATGAGGTTATATTGGGAGGCAGACACTTGTTTAAATTGTTACCATTTGGTAACTCATATTCATTAAGGAGAGCTCAACAATTGTCAAGCAACAGAATTTGCTATCTTCAGGCTTTGCCTATTTGTCTAAAACATTCTTTTATTTCAGGTGCAGAAACATTGAAGAAACCATTCTTGAAAAGTTTATTTGCATTATTCTGCACATTGTAAATTACAGGTAACTGTAGAACACCTTTAAAAGGCCTTTGTACTTTCCAATTCCCAAAAGCTTTACATTTTGTGAGCTTGTGTATTTGTACACGTAAACACTGTAACTCTAACTCTATCACTACCTTTATTCCATTTAGAACCAGTAGAATCAGATTCACGCACACTGCCAGGGTAGCATTTGCAAACATTGCCAACATAAGCCAGTTCCACCTGCATTTTAAATTTATTCAAGGGATAGATTATGCTCAGCAACTAATTTGTTAATAAAATTAATAATATTTTTCTGCAGCTTCATATGGTGAGCTGATTTTTGTTCGTCAGATACAAAGAACCTCCTAGTGCCATGACAGATTTTAAAACATGAAATCCACACTTTGGAAAATGGATATAGGAACACGGGACTTCAGCCCACGAGTAGTCTATTTGGGCTTGCTGCACCTTTCAATAAGATCACAGTTGATCTGGTTGCGGTCTCTGCTTCTGTCTGCACTCCATTACCCTGAATTCCCTTGTCAATTAAAAATCTAATTAACACACTCCTGAATAAAGTTAAAGACCACTGTTTTCAAAGAACAAGAATTTCACACCCCTAATGATCCTTTGAGAGAAAACATTTCTCCTTGTCTGTCTTATAAATGAGACTCTTATTCTTAAACTATGTCTAATTTTATTCTCCACCACAAGAGGAATCATCCTCTGAGTACCCTGCCTACCCAGTCCCCTTAAGAGCTTTATGTTTATATAACATTACCTCTCAAGCTTCTAAACTCCAATAGACATAGGCCTAATTTGTTCAACCTTCCTTCATAGTTGAGTTGGGTGAGCCCTCTCTGAACTGCTTCAAAGCAATTGTATCTTTTTTCTCACATACGACAATTGAAACTATGCACCATATTCCACATGTTCTCACCAATGGCCTGTACAATGTAGCAAGACAATTTTCTACTTTTATATTTACTTTGTCTTACAATAAGTATCAATATTCCAT